CTTCATCAGACCTCTGGCATGGAAGAAGCCAAATCCCCTCTGATACTGCATTTAGGAAAAATGTGAACTTTATCTTAAAAGGCTAAATGTAATGTTGTAGGTTGGTGTTGGTTTTATGTGTTTTTTTTGTTTGTTTTTATTTTTAAGGGCTAAAGGTGATAATGGATTTAATACCAAACCACACAAGCGACAAGCACTGGTGGTTTCAGCTGAGCCGCAATCGGACTGGGAAGTACACGGATTACTACATCTGGCAGGACTGCGTGCAGGCTGCTGGCTCAGTCATTCCTCCCAACAACTGGGTAAACATGGGAAGGGACACGTGCAAATCCCGAGCTGGATGCCACAGAACAAAAGCAGCTGTAACATGATTGTCCCAGTGTACACGGGGTTATAAAGTGAGAGGTACAAACCGATGCCACTATGTGAGCTAGTGTAGATTAAGATATGAAACAAGTTGGGGAGCCAAAGGAAAGTTCCTACTTCAAATGGAATTTTAATTATTACTTCTGTTTCTTCACCTCAGTGTTAAATCTTCATTCATGAAACAAACACAAAAAAGGATAATTGTGCACAAGTTGTTCACWCATCCCTCCTTCTCTGTATGAGTGTTCTGCTCCAGAAACAGCATGTCAGCTCCTCTGATATCATAGTTGGTGGGGAAGGAAGCAAAAATATGTGATCTTGACTTTTTTCCTTTTTTTTTCTGGAAAGCGATCAGGCCAGAAAGTGTGTTGTCTATTTCAAATAGATTTATTTTAATTTTGAACTGATGAGTTCATGATTATGAACTTGTATATTCTAAAAGCTCAAGGTAGAATTAATACTTTGTACCAGTTAGTATAATTTCTCTTTAAACTTAGAGTTTTAAGAGCTATCATAGCTTTTGGAATCTTTTATTACAGAGATGGTGATAAAATTTAACATTTTTAACATGCTGACTGTTGTTGGCACTTCAAAGGGATAATACCAGATTGCAAAAAGCTCTACGTTAACTATGGCTATTTTTAATATGTTTAGGAGAAGAAAATCCAAAATAAATGTTCCCACCCATGTTTTCCCCTCTATTCCAGATACTTCCCAAAGAAAGTTAACTTAGTGAAAAACCCTCAAAACCCACAAAGTTGAACAAGTGGCAAAGCACAGCTGAAGGGAGAGCAACTTGTGGAAAAAAGAAATGAAAACCATTGGTACCAAAGTCTACTCAAAATATAGTCCATTGATTAGGCATTTTGTGCTTTATTTTATGCTTGTAATGCCCCACATTTTTAAGTATGCATAGGAGGAAATGTTTGTTAAATTCGTAGTTTTGCTTATCTCTGTCCCTTGTGTGAGCAGGTGAGTGTCTTTGGGAATTCCAGCTGGCAGTTTGACGAGGTGAGACAGCAATGTTATTTCCATCAGTTTGGGAAGGAGCAGCCAGACTTAAATTTTCGCAGCCCCGATGTGCGACAAGAAATCCATGTAAGTAACCCCCTGCTGCTGAGCCCACAGCCTCTTGCACGGAGGCCTGTGCAGAGCTGACTCACTGGAGAGAAGTTTTTATCTCTGTTGGTACAAAGARCTGTTAATTAGCCATCAGATGTGGGGATGACACCTTGTTTTAGYAGTGAGATGTTTGCATTTTTGGGAAGGCAAAGGCAATGCTGATTTGAATTACAAGGAATGCCTGGACTTCTGGATAAGGGGGAAGATAGTGAGTTTCGATCTGTCTCCATGTCTGACGACTTTCCAGATGAGAGCGTTTTCACAGTGAGAGTGGTTGGTGAGGTGGTGCTCAGATAGAATYTCATTCCTGTCTGCTCTATGTCTCCCAGCAGACAATGTAGAATTCATTAAAATATGGGGATGTGGGCCTGAACATGGTGACAGTGACTACTTCTGCTTCTTTTCCCCTCTTTCTCTAAGTTATCCCTCATCAGGCAGTACAGCTACTTCCAGTTTTATTGAATCCTTAAACGTTTGCCACTTTGTACTGTTGAATTGTGGTTCATTTCTTTGCTGCTGATCTTTCCAGCACCTCAGTCCTCTTGGGATGGTCTCACAGGCTCTGTGGGACTCAGCCCTCACCATGTGAGCACTGCATGAGCTCAAAGAAACAAAACACTTCTGGTCATACTTTTTTATACTTTTCAAGCATGAAATGAGACTGCTTTTGGGACTGGTCCTTGGAGAACTCTGCCAGAAACCTCTCTGTGTCTTGGTACTTCCCTTAATCCCACATCTTTGCCATTTGTACCTTTTTTTCCCCCGATAGCATTGCACGTGCTTTTTAATGGTCCTGTCTAATTACTTTTTAAAAAATGCTATCTGGATTATTGAAACTTCAGTAGCAAAGAGATGCTGCATTTCCTTTGCAAAAAAGGAAAAAACCCACATGAAAGCTGGGAAGTTTGGCCTGTAACACCAACCTTTGGTAAATGTGTACGAACATCATGTTAGAAATATCTTTGTCTAGTATCATAACTCAAAATCCTGTTCCAGAACGTTAGGAGGACTGAGTAGGAAGCAAGTGGACTTTTGCTCAAGAAGCAAAAAGAGAAGCTCAAGTCTTTGGTTTGGCCATGCAAGGGCATCCAAGAAGGAGCCAAACTTAGCAACCAGCCTTCTCTGGCATTCATGTGTACATAGAATTAGGTTGATCCCAGTGAGAACCGTGTCAGTGCTCATTGTTTGCAGTGCTGTTCTCTGGGTTTGCTTTGTGTTGAGCACAGGTCTAAGCAGGAACATTTTTGTGTGGATTCAGTGTTGGTCAGACACCATATCAAGGGCTGCTGCTCTCAGAATGGCACAACGAGAAAGTGCAGCTCAGTAAGGCGGAGTCTTCATTTGCCAAACAAAAATCTGTAAGGCTTGAGTRTGGACTAGTTCTACTCCAGCCTGCTCTGACAAGTGTACTTCATACATTTCAAAAAAGGCAATTCAATAGACATCTTTGAAATTATATTTAAAACAGGGTTTTTTCCTCAGATGAAGACAAGTATCAGGTTTAAATTAAAACTGTATCAGGGCAATTAAAACTGTAGTAATCTGATAGTTACTGAAGTAGGATGTATTTTTACTAATAGTGACTAACATTGAAATTGTATAGTGAAATTTCAAATCAATAGCATTTGTAATTATTGGATAATAATTTGTCTTGTTCCTGCAAATCAACAAATAAGCTTGAAAATAAAGTTTAAAAAAATACATCAGTCAAATAAGAGAGAACAAATGTTTTAAGAGCTCTATTTTGTAAAAGAAAATTGGTGGCACAAGGTTTGTGCAGAACAACATCTTCCTGCATATTTGAATCAATGTGTTCTAATTGTGTGCAGCCATGACGAGTGTTCAACAGCAGCACTTAGCATGAGCCCAGCTGAGTTGATGGATGAGATGAGAAACTGCTTTTAGCAAGTCATGCCCTGGCTTTGGTCTCCTGAATTATGGAGATGTTACAGACTGGTCTTCTTCTTTTCTGTACTGAATGAAATAATAAGACATACTTTATTTAGCTGTTAATTTGACCTTAGATCAACATGATTCACTGTAGCTTCAAGAAAAATTTGAAGTACAAATTTAAACATGAATTGTTATGTATTTAAACCTCCTTACAAGTTTAGTTTTCTTTTTAAGAATGTATTATTTTAAATGAGGTGGGCTCACTCAGACTTTTAAAATTTTTACCTTTGTCTAGGATATTATTAAATTTTGGCTTGGCAAAGGAGTTGATGGATTTAGTTTCGGCACTGTTAAATTTCTCTTGGAAGCAACACATCTCCGGGATGAGCCTCCAGTGAACAAGTCTCAGAATGGAGTAACGTATACGTTCCATCTTTGCTTTTTTCCTTTGTTTCCTACGGAGATGAGAGTGTCTGGTTTGACTCTTTTGGGGCTTAGTTGTGGCTGTAGGAAAACCAGGTCAGCCCTGTCCCTTGGCAGGGAGGTGGCTCTTGGGCACTCTGCAGGAGCACTCCCTGGAAAGAACTGGAGCAAAACTAAGAAACTCTGGTACTGGCAGTTTGTCACMGTGAGAGGTGACCAGGCACATCCAAAATGGTGAACACTGGTTTTAATGCTGTTTGTTTTGCTGTGGTAGTGAACTTGGTGATATTCCCAGATAATGCCATCACTAAAACACTGTTCTGGACACATAAAACTGGTCAGCTCCACATGTGGTGGTGTTGTTGTGTTACCTTACCAAGGCATTGTCCATCTTTCCAGCCTGGTGTGAGGCCACAGCACCCATTGTGCTCACAGCTCCAGATGGCCTCTGTTGGTTGGTGCTGTGGGTGGGCTTTCTCTGCTGAAGGATGGGATCCAAAATTATCAATCTTYTGCTATTCTCGAGTTCCTCAAGAGCAATTCAGCTCTGTGTTCTTTGTATGCTAAAATCAGTTAAAATTTATGTGGACTGGTGCACTGTCCACATCAGGAAAGGATGGGGAGAATTTGGAGAATTCTGAAATCTAAAATGTTGGTGGACTAATGTGAAATCCTCTACCTTGCTTTAAGGAGAGTATCACAGCCTATTCCCAGCTCCACCACGACTACACGACCACGCAAGTTGGTTTGCATGACATCATCCGCAGCTTCCGTCACACCATGAACGAGTTCAGCAGAGAACCTGGCAGATACAGGTAAYCAGCACAGCTGGCCAGCTTTTCTCTAGTAGTCATCACCCTCATGCTAGCCATAAAATGTGATCTTTAATAGCGTAATATGCCACAGAAACACAAATCCTCCAATGCAGATGGCAGTGCATAGGCTGTATTTCCTCTTCCCGGTGTGGAATGGAAAAGAATTGGCCCTGTTAGCTCTGCTCCATCTCTGGGGTGTACAAAGCTAAAAGGCAACCATTGTAATCACACAGGCACTAATTTATCAACCCTGTGCCTGATTTGTATAGTTTTATTACTGTATAGTTTTTTATTGTATAGTTTTATTRGATTATTGTATAGTTCTAATAGTGCAGTCCAGGTGAGACACACAGAGAGTGTTAAAATCACAGAATGGCTGAATTTGGAAAGGACCTCTGGAAGTTCTCTGGTCCAAACCCCTGCTCATTGGGGCCACCTGGAGCTGGTTGCCCAGGAATTTGTCCAGACTGCTTTTGAATGTTTCCAAGAATGGAGATTTAAAACCTCCCTGGAAAACCAGTGCCAGTGCTCAGTCACCCTCACACTGGAGAAGTCTCCTGATGTTCATAGGGAAACATTTCCTGTGTTTTGGTCTGTGCCCATTGACCCTGGTCCTGGCACRGGGTACCACTGAGGAGAGCCTGGCCGTGTCACCATTGCACCCTCCCTTCAGGTGTCTACATACACCAGTGGGATGCCCCTGAGGCTTCTCTTCCCCAGGCCAAACTGCCTCACCTCTCAGCATTTGCTGTGGGAGAGATGTTTCAGTCCCACAGACTGAAACAGAGTGGCTGAGTAAAGAAAAAGGATTACCTCCCTTGCTCCTGGCAGCGCTCCTCCTAATGCAGCCCATGATGCCATGAGCCACCTGCCCTTTCAAGGGCACACTGATGGCTTATGGTCAACTTGGGGGACCCCAGGTCCTCTTCTGTGAAGGAAAGCATGGAAATTGCAGGAATGGACTGTGTGGCCATGGATTCAGAAAGATAAGGCTTCAGTCAGATACTTTAGCATTGACTTTTGTAGATTTTTCTCCAGCAATTTCCCAGAAGTATTTCTCCTTCATTCCTTGTCTGCTTTACAAAATCTTGTTTCTCTGTATTAATCTTTTTTGATGGGGAGGGGAAGAGTGAATATAATTCTTAATGCTCTGTGTCCAACAATTTCTAGCTTCTGTGTTACCAAAAATGAGCTAAAAAAGCTGTTTGCGTATTACTTTGTAGATTTATGGGTTCTCACGATGATGAAAAGGAAGACATTGAAGCAACAATGATGTATTATGGAACGCCTTTTATCCAAGAAGCCGATTTTCCATTCAATTTCAACCTAATTAACATGAAAAATCTATCGGGCAACAGTATTTTTGAAGCAGTCGACTTGTGGATGAGAAACATGCCTGCAGGAAAATGGCCAAACTGGGCAGTAAGAGTTCTAGACCACCTCTCATAGGAAGGGCTTGTTCCTGTAGCTCACAGAAACCACACACGCACACACAGATTTCTGTGGGATCAGCAGCAGCCTGAGCCCATGGCTGAGCTACAGGCACTGTCCTTGTGAAAACTCTCAGCTGCTGTAGTTGGAGTCCTTGGCACTGCCTGGGTCTCCTGCCCTTCAATAACATTTCCATTCCCCATGCAGGGATGACAGAAGGGAATTTATGATCATACCTCTCCCTCAGTGTCTCCGGTGGCTAAAACACCAGTGAGAATGGAATTGGGATCATTCTCTCTAATCAGGGAGAGTTGTTATTTGTCATCTCTTCCTCACTTCTGCCTCATGTGCTGCTGGCAGGATTTGCGTGTATTAAATTCTTTAAAACAGAAGTTTGTAATGGCACTAAGATAAAAATAATGGCCCTCACAGCCCTGGCAGGAAAAGAAAAAAAAAACCCAAAACATCTACTACCTTGTTAAATTAGTTAATCAAATTCACATATGCATGAAATTTTATACTGTGTGTTTAGCAGAATGATGTTTTCTTCAGGTTGGAAGCCCTAATGCTGCTCGGCTTTCAACTCGGATTGGGTATGAGTTCGCCGATGTCATGAACATGCTGCTTTTAACCCTCCCTGGTACTCCTGTAACTTACTAYGGTGAAGAAATAGGTATGGAGAACATTGCATCAGAAAATGTAAGTGAAGAGCATGTAAACTCTGCTCCTGTTGTTGTTTAGTTCTCAGTAACAAAATATTCAAAACCACAAGAACTTCTATTTTGTTAATCAAACCCAGTCTGTCTCACTGCTTATATGGTTTTCCATGTTCCTCATGGCAAACCATTGTACAGCGTGTAGAAATGGCCAGGCTGAAGACCAGAACCAAGGCCTTGATGTGTGTCTGAACTGGTGGACTTCAGTTACGGCTCCTGATTTCTGTCCTTCTCCAGATCAGCCTTGCATGGTTGCAGCAATGGCAGGAAGGGCAGCAAATGCCAGCACTGGGCCTGGCCAGTGGGCAGGAGAGGTGTGCTGCAGTCATGTGAGGAACTGAGCCATTGTCTCCTTCCTCCCATGGAAGTTCCCTCATCATCATGTCAAAGTCCATTATTTCCTGGCTGTTACTTAAAGGAAATCAGGGTTCTGATTCTGTCTTAGCCATGGCTGTCACGTGTGTGCCCACGCTCAGAAGAAGGATCTGCACAAAAGGGAGGGTGCCTGGTGGCAAGAAGAAGTGGCTTTTGGTTGTCAGGCATAGTCTGTCCCAAAAGGGAAGCGCTCATCTCTGCCTCTCCTGCCCATATTTGAGCACCATGYGAACATAGTCCTATGGCAGATGCTGGTTTCCCTTTGGAAAGCATCCCTTAGGGAATGAGACAGCCTCCGATGGTGTTAGAAATTACATTGGCTAGCTTTGTATCAAGGGGAAAGGTACTTGGAGCACAGGATCATCTCCAGGCTTGTCTGATTCAGATGTGAGAAAATTATTCTCTGATTTAAAAGGAAATCTCACGTCCTCTGAGAAACCCCTAGGTCAAAGTATCTCCTGCATTTTCTTGCCGCCGCTGATTACTGCCGACAGGGTGATTCTCTTCAGAAAAGTGGCTCGCCCTGAGCTCCTCAGGGTTCACTCTCTTTTAGTGGCTACCCCGTGGCTCAGGGCTTTGGAACAATGCAAAACCACCCTTCACTGAGTCTGGAGAGGAAGGTTSCCTGATTAATGGGTGTCTTAGAAAGATGGAGAGTATTTGCTCACGATACCGTCTTTAGCCCCAGCATTTCAAACACTTCAGGAGACACTGAAAGAGGGAAAGATGAGAGGCAGTGTTACCAGTGTTGAAAACTTAGGATTTTTTTCCCCCTGCTTTTCAGAATATGCTAAAAAGGAGAAACCCATTATTTATAATGTCACAAAGCAAAGTGACAATTTCTTTTGTTAGGCTGCTGTTCTGACAGATTGTATTGAAAAGTGTCCTTTGTATGAAAAACAGTTTTCGTGGAAAACAAACACTTGAAGTATGTGCAAAATATTTTATGCCCTCTTATATCATTAAATTTAAGTGTCAGATCTTTTGGCAGCTCTTCAATAACAATAAGGAAGCTTTTTCAGAATTCTTCTGAATTCTTCAAAATGAGAACTTCAGAGGTTTTTACATCGACGTTTTTTAATCAGCTAAAAGCTGTTTTTCAACAGTGTTGCATTTGGAAATAATAATTTTACCTTTCTAACACAAACAGTCCTGTCAAAATTGTACCCCTTGAAAATGTAAACTTGAAGAGTTCTGGGGTGAAAAGTGCGATAGTTACAAAAGAAGAGACACTGAACAGCAGTTACTTGTTGTTTGCTGTTATTTTAGTGACACCTCCTCTAAGGACTCATTACTTCATATATTCACTCAATGCATGTCCAGATATTTATCAGAATATCCTGCTTATCATCAGTAAACTTTTATCCAACCATCTGTTGCAAAGGACAACTCTAGTAAGAGTCATAGTAAGAGTCATTTGGGAATTCCACATTTTACCCAGTGATGCTGTATCTGAGACRATCCACTCCCCTCCATTCCAGAAACCATCTTGGTTCTTATTTTCTTCTGAGATTTGGAGTCCAATTCCATCATTAGATTTTAACTTAAACCAAAGAAAGCAATACTGAAATGGTGATAATTTGGGAGATGTGAGAACATGGTATTCAAAGAATAACTTGTCAATATGCTAATCACTGCTTCATTTTCTAGGCCACCCTTGCAGAGAAATCCCCCATGCAGTGGAATGGAGAAGTTAATGCTGGTTTTACTGAAGGCAACAGCAGCTGGTTACCTGTTCACTTCAACTACCAAAGTATAAATGTGGAAGTAGGTATCTACATGTGTGACAAACTAATGGTCTCAAAATATTGTCATTTGTCTCTTTTGTTCTGGTTTCCTTTTAGCAGTGGGCACTGGCAGTAAAAACAAACTCAAGGGAAAAAAAAAAAAACCACTGAATCCTCAGAAGTTTTATTAGAAAAGGAAATACTTGCACAACAAGAAGCCTACTTCATCTGTACTCATTTAAGTAGAGCAACAATTATGATGCTGATGTGGCAATTTGGTTCTTTAGCATCCTTTAAATCCTTTTGATATTGAATTGAAAACTGGTCTCTTTTTCCCCCTCCATTTCTATTGCTATAGAAAGTATTGCTTTGTAACAAAAACTTAGACAAACTCTAACCTAAGTAGAGCAGTGAATCAAACAAATTTTGCTGACCAGAACTGAAGGCAGGAAAAAAAGTTAAGATAGCAAAAATACGAAACATGAAATAAACCCTGTGACTTCAGTCAACTGGACTCAATGAAAAGGGTTCAGTGTCAAGCTTTGAATGGCTGTTGTTTCCCCTGAATCAAAAGTACTAAAAGGATGCTGTGGGAGGAAGCAATAGCATTACTGACGGGGAACTGTTATGCCTARTAACTTCTGTCTCTGCCACCCCACAAATACCAAGGAAGTACATGAGAAAAAAAGCAGTTTTTCAGTGAAAATTGCAGACAAATTTAAAGAGGGATAATTGCCAGCATGGAATTCTGCTAGGCACGTTCTCAGCAGACGGAGTAGGTGTGAGAAGGGAGTTGTGTTTGCTCCCTGTAGTGCTAAGCAATGACCCTGTTGGTGCTGACTGTTGCAGTTCCAGAAGATGTGGTCCACCTCAAAGCTGAGTTTGTACAGAGCACTGACCTCACTTCGGAACAGTGAGCTCGCCATGAACCGAGGGTGGATGTGCYACATCTGGAGTGACAACGACGTGTTTGCGTACGTCAGGGAGTTGGATGGCTTAGACAAAGTCTTCCTGATGGTGCTCAACTTCGGCCAGAAGTCCACAATAGAGCTGAAGGCCATTGTTCCTAACCTTCCAGATGAAGCTGTTGTAAGACTAGATACTCACTTYAAAAATATTACTAAAGTTACCACTACCCAGCTACTTACAACTGAAAGGGGAGAAGGCCTGGTCCTTGAATACAAAACAACAAAGCCTGTTCATACTATGGAATCTTTTCAAGGGAAGTGTTTTGTGGCAGAAAAAGCTTGTTATTCTAAGGCCTTCAATTTACTCTACACGAACTGTTAAGTACAGGATCAGAATACCTATGCTTTCATGTTAATTTAGAAGATACTAGTTCCAGGGAAATGCTAAAAATACTCAGTTTTCTTTGGCTTTTAAAATTTTATTTGTGTACAAATAAATGCCCTGAAAAATCAGATACATAATTGCCTTGTATCAGTATTTGTGATGAAAAGATAAAAGTATGATATAAACTGCCCCTTAGGGCCTGTGGAAGAAAAGTAAACCTGTTCTAAAAACCTGTCCTGTTTAAGCACGTATTTTTGGGAGGAGAGGGAACAGTTGCTTTTGGGGTGCTGACCCTTGAGGTTGCTGGGCTGTGTTTCTGTGGAATCCCAAGCCTTTGGTCAACTTAAAAGTCTGCAAATTTGTAAAACTTATTCTAAAGGGGTGGTCCTATGTTTGCTAAAATAGGTAAGCACAAGCAAGRCTAATATATATTGTTGTGATATCTTACCTCTTCTCTCAACTTGAACAGCTCTGATTATCCTCTAAATTAATAACAAAATGAACAAAATACAGCTAATATATCTAATTCCACATTCAGAACAGCATTTCCAGTTGATTCTCTCCCCCCGCTGAGTTAGAATACATTTGCATTMTCTTGTTTCTTTTCCTACATAAGGCTGAGGTGAGGGGTGCTTACTTTAGTGCAGAGTAAGCTGCTGAAACAACCCTACTGAATGTCACACTTGCACATGTGCTCTGATTTGGATTWGCTGCACCTGCAGTGGTTGATATGGCCCCAGTGTGCAGCACACATCTATTTTAACAAAAAATGCACAGCAGGTTTGTGCCTYGCTCAGAAGGCAGCTAAGCTATGAATTAGGGTGCTTCAGTGGGGGCGTTCTTATTGTTTTATTCTCTGGAGATACTCTGGCATCCTCTGAGACACTGATCTTGTCCTCCTGAGGGACTTTGGCACCTCCTTTTTAAGATTACCATGCTAGGTAAGGTAACTGCAAGTTTTTGAGTGCTCTGATCAAAGAGTTCCGCTAAAATTCCAGGTCTTGGGAATCCTTTTCTTGGCTTACACCATGGCTGCTGTGTAGATAGGGAGGGCAACATTCATCAGCACCTACATATGGGAATTATTTTTAGAAGTAATGGAATTTTAGTTTTAGAAGTAGGGACTTCCACATCAAATGCTTCAGAGTAGTTTCACTGCCCTGTGTAAGATGTGGCCTTGGACAGGAAGGCTGCCTTTGCCAAGTGCCTGTGGCTCTCCTGTGAGGCTCTTCGTGCCCTGTTGTGCTCCAGCCCCGCTCATGTAGCGTTGCTCTGCTGCCTGGTGTGAACAGAGCTACCCAACAGGCTCCCTTTGCTGGCAGCTGCTTCTGCAGGGCAGAAATCCAATTCTTGGTCCATGTTCTTGTAAGGCAGTGCCACACCCAGCTTTGTGTGCTTATGCCCATAAAACAGGAATTCGAGAGGAGAGATCCTCTGGAGAAGGTGTTTGTTTTCCATACAAATCCAAATCTGACCTGAAGTCCTTCAGGTGGTCATGGTGCTGAGGAGCTATTTGCAGGATTTGCTGGGATGTTGGGGATGGCACACTTCCTCAAGTTCTCTGCTCAGAAAAGCAAGGTGTCTTGCAACCTTAAATAATGAAAATATTTTATTACGAAGTTCTTTGCACGGTAAAACTTCAGGCTCTTGTGCAGCTGTTCTAATCATCTTACTTTCCAATACTAATGCTAAGAAATACCTTGCTCTGAGAMAGCATGTAGCTTTTCCTGAAAGAATTCATCTTGGGAATAACTGCCACAACAACCAAATTAGCATTTTCTAGGATTTGTTAAAATTAAAAGTAATAAAATTTGTATCCAACTGTGACAGTCTGAGACATCACTAAAAATATGTCAGGTCTTGGCAGTATGTTGCTTTTAACATGCACGCTTGTATAAAGTGTAAAATCTTGAAAGCTAATTGTAATAGCTTTGATTGCACAGATCATGCATTTCAAAATGTGAAGATCCAACCCATCGTGTATGTTTTACACAGGAGGAAGATGGGAGTAAATAGTGTGACAGTTTTAAGCACTTAATACTCTACAGAGCAAGACTTTTCCTGCTGGAATGATGTTTTGCACAACTTGGAACCTTTCATTCAAAGCTCTTAGCACATTACAGTGGGAATTGAACACTATTTTGAGGCTCTTTCAAAAATCTGGCTCTGCCATTGTCTCTTMTATATCTGTACAAGTATATATCAATATAAATATCTATAATTATGTATAAAGATTGCTGGGTTTTTACATTTTATATAGATATAAAATCAGCAGTTGCTCTAGCAGTTTTTCTTCACACTTTAATCATGCATTCAATGAATGCCCAACTACTGAGGCTGAAGTATCCCTTGAGGGGCAYATCCCTGCAGTATGTTATGGACCCGTTCAATAAAGGGAACATACCTCATTCARTGAGTGCTCCCAGGATGAATCACAATGGCTGCCATTTGCCTGGACATCTAAGATGATATTAGGAAGCCAGTTTCCTGGAACAATGAAGCTGGTGATCACTTTACATTGAATGAACAAGGAAGAAATTAAGTGGGGATGTGAGTTAAGGATAGATAATTCTGCCTTCTGTCCTGACAGAATTTCTATTCTTCCTAAAAACAAAAGATAATCATAGAGGGGCTTTCTGAATCAATTATTTGTATTTCTAATAACTACATACTTGAAAAATATTCATCTACTTAGTGTGTTTGTTCTCTCTGAGTCATTTTGGAAAGACATGCTCTTGTCTTTCTGCACAAAGAGTACAACAGCAATCACAGCACCTGCTGCAATTTCTTAACCACTGCAGTTGTGCTACCCACAGAGACAGGGTAAAATGAATGAAATGTAGAGAAGGTTATTCAAGACCTCTTTCAGTAATGATGGTAAAAACCTCTCCCCAGATTACACGGTGCTAGAAAATACTCAGGCTTGAATGTACCTTTTGCTGGAAACCATCCCAAAGCCAGGGTTAAGTTTCAGGTGTAAAAGAACCTGCGCCTTCACCTTGTTGTCACTCTAMCTTGGACTAAGGACCTGCAGTTTTAGCAAAGTGAGAAAAGTAGGTTTTTGTATAGCAGGAAAGATAAAATTTTTCTTTGAGAGTTGCTGAGAGCTGCAGTCTGGCCCTGTCAGCAGCTGGACTGGCAGTGTGGGYTCACCTCACACTGTCCAACAATTGCCTTATGTTGGGACCTAGGAAAGAGGAAGCCCCACTCACAGGCTCCCAATCTTTATGTTTTTGCATAAAATGAGAAATTTTGCATCTCAGTGTCCTCAGCCTACTGTGGAGCTGTTGATATGGGATTGTGTTTGAACTCATTTAAGGAGGAGTCAATCTCTATGGTGTTTAATTGCATGACTATTGATGTTTTGCTTCAGTTTACTCCATTTATCTTTGATATTCTTATCCTTACCTTTCTTACTTGTTCTGCTGGCATGATCTAGTGCAGCCTTCCTGAGTTTCTGAACATACTGTAAAATTCCTGTTAGTGGTACCCGTTCATCATTTTCATATGCCRTGATAAAAACTGACGGATAACACTGAGATTAAAAACCAAAACCAGTTAAACACTTGACAACAGGTCTTTCTCACAGAGTAACACATTTTTCTCTTACTATACAACTGGTTAGGGTTTATCTAAAACCTCATCTATTACATAATTACTTAGGGTTTTTTAAAGCATTTTATCACTGTAACTGCAAAAAGTATTTTGGTCTGAAAAATGACTTCATAGTAGGGGATAATCTACTTGTAAATGGTCATAAAAACATCCTCTCCCCACTGGTAAAGGGTCTGATACCTGTCTGCTTGATGATGATTGCAAAAAAAAGAGAGTAATAATCATGGAATGGTTCACCTTAGAACAATTGCTGAGGTTTATTTTTGCAATTTTTCTGCATAGAGAAAGTTGTTGTTTTTAAATAGTAAGAATTTTTCTTGGAGCTGTGCAACATAGCTAACACATTGTCAAATAAAGAAAGATTTCCCTTGAGATGACAATGCCAATGCTATTTATCTAGCTCCTCTTCCCTTTCAGTGTTTGTTTGTTTTAAGAGCTCTGGAAAGGCATTAAATCAGTGGAAAGTATCTCCTTTTCCCTGTGTCAAAGCCTGCAAAACACAGTAGAATGACAGAACGCTGCAACAAAAGAAGGCATTTGGCATGGTGAGATATGCTGTAAAATAATATGTTCCTGAAAGTCCTAAAATAAGTTTAGAAATCTGTATCATTTAGGAGAAGGCATTGGGTTAACTTCAGTATTCACTTATGACTCCAACTATTGCTAAGATTATTACTGAAATAATTCATATTAGCTTTTTTTTTTTCAATTTCAGTTATTTATTTTTTGTTTTCTTATAAACCACTYTATGCCTGTAGTACTCTGCACAGAAAGCATTGTTTTACCTGTGGCTTAATATTCTGCAGTGGGCAATAGCTTTTTATATACTTCAGACATTTTTCATCTTCTAATGGATTTCCCCATTCTTCTTGTTCCTCAGTTGTCAGTGGGAGATGAGTTTTCATCATTGTATTTAGAACATCTACAAAAGGAGCCTTAGAAGTCATTAAAAAAAAAGTTGGCAGATAGGATAGAAGCCCTTAAATATCTGAGTCAAGGTGTTCTCAAACAAATTGAGGAAAGTGAGCTTTGAATTGGAACGTTTCCAATTCTGAAAGCGTTAAATGAGACAGATAATACAGTTTAATGTCATAATCTRTAAAAGATCTGCAGCAGCTCACCTGTAAAACCACGGCTCTGATCAGTTCTGGATTGGTGTTGCACAGGGCTCCTGCAAGAACTCCGCCAGCGCTGGCAGCTGCCAATGCTGTGTGTTTGGGCTGAGACAATCCCAGTTCATGCAGCAGCGTGATGCAAGCCCTGAGGTCATGGAGACCTTTGAGTTTATTATGCTGACATCCATCTCTGTGCCAGCCAAGGCCCTGCTCTCCTCCGCCCCTGAAATTTAAAGCAATTCAAGTTCAATCTCTTCAGAAAACATTRCATGGCGTAGCTTCAGATAACGAAAGAACAGCAGCAGCCACAGAGCTGCAAATTATAGTTTGCTTTCCCAATTAAGTTTTCTCTGTTTTTGCCTTTATCCTTCTTTATGGCTAAAAGAGACAACATGAAGTCAAAATAAATCCATGCATGATGAYTGATGAAAATACTAACTGTATAAGGGCACAAGCACCCTTGTGTGCTTGTGTCCTGGAACTCACAGGAAAAGCAATGCTTTAGGAAATGGTATTTCCATTGTAGGCAATACAAAATGAGATAATACTATTTTTTTATAAAGTAAACCATGAAAATATCTAAAGCATTTCCAATACTTCCATTACGAATACGATTACTTATTAAAAACAGTAAAACAGTATTTCTGGGCACCACACCAGACTCTCTGGATTTGTCTTCTGCTTTGCTTAAATTCTCATACTGTTAGAAAGTTTGGCTGGGTTTTTTTTTTTTTTCCTAATTTGTGAATTTCAAATGCTACTTGAAATGTTACATTTTGTAGTACAGAATTATAAAAATTATTTATATTTCTTCCTATGCAAACACAATTTTGGTTCTAAGCTACCTGAAGCTTTCTTTTCTGGTTTCAAGTCTAAAATGGATTTTTTTCATTACCCTGCCATCTTTGGATCAACATTCCATCTTCATGTAGGCCTGAGTTGCACGTTAAGATACTTGGTGGGGTGTGAGGAAGAACAGCACAATGCTTGCCACTGAGTATAGCAGGTTGAATATATTTGCTGAATTTGTTTTGGGACTGGTATTTCAAATAATTACTCATTCCTCCCCTTCCTTCCCCTCCCTAAAGTGATTCTTTTGTTATCTTCCTTAGCTACTGAGAAAAATTTGAAGCCTATTGTACACAGCAGTTTTAGAAAACTGGTAGATTTGTAGCTAAACTGGAGACAGGATTTAGCCAATGAAAGAACAAGGGTTGCAGGTTAAATGCTTCGCTGTTGCTGTAGAAGGTAAATGGCTTTCAGAAGACACAGAGTGATCATTAGCACACAATGCTCTCAGAAGGAGAGGGAGGTAGCATGTCACAGCAATTTCAGCATATAACCGAAATTTTTCTTGAGCAAAGATGAGACAAGAAGTAATGAGACTTGAAAAGATTAAAAGTTACATACAGCCATCATGTAGATTTAAGAAAACTAAAATGCAGGATGCTCTTGTGGATTTTTTCCCGAGGTAAATTTAAAAACTACTTACATTAAAAATCTAAGAGAAGGTGATTAAAATTAGGTATAGGTACACAAAAAATTATTTTGATACATCTCCAGTTATACATGAAGAAATGTCTGTMTATCCGGTAAAATAAAATCTTATTTCCACTTTATATTTGACTTACCTAACATGGCAATATGCTAATATCCAACCCTCGTCAATTAACATCAGCTTCTCTTCTTTAAAGCTCATGTTCAAATCTATGCCATAAGCTCCGTATACATGAACTAGAAGTGGTCTCCTGTGTAGTTCTTTAGAATTCTTATTATGAAAAACTGTAATTGGCACCAAAGTTTCATCCTGGAAAAGAAGGAGTAGTTTTACAATAAGGGACATTGCAGAAATCTCAATGACACATGGCAATGAAAACTTCAATTATTTATTTTAAAATGTGKTTTTTTGATTACAGTAATTTTTTTTCACTTAGAATGTACAAAGCACTCTTGAAAAATAAAGTGTGAGACTGAACCTCTGCTGTGTGGGCTTACAGATGCAGAGTATAAATTCATTTAAGTGCAACACCTGAGGAGTTTTTAAACCGCCAAAGCRCCCGAGTCTTCCTTCCCCCTTTAACACCAAGAATATATGTTATTAACAATAGAGTTTACCACTTACCACAGTACAAACTCTTTATTAACATCTCCAAATTTTTAAACTCAGGCTGTTAAAACTTTCCTTTCTTGATCTGCACTGTGCAGCTGGTTGTGGGGTGTTCTTTTCAACAGCTGGCACCTTTTTCATTTGTCATGTGGAGCACAATACCATGCATCAACTAGCAATTCTCACTTATACTAAGACTCTTGACTCATCGTGTGCTGTTATCTCCTCTGGAATACCCAGGTTAATAGAAAAAAATCACGACTCTTTCTTGTTCTTCTCTATAGCACTGGAGAAAACACCCACTGTTTAGTAACTATAGCACCAACTGCTCTTTACATTTTTTAATCTCTGTTCCCTGCCAAATGCACTTTCTTTAAATGGGTGGGAAGGAAGGAAAGAATAAAAGGAACGGGAAAAAGACTGAAAAATCTTACCTTGCTTTTAGCTAGTAAACGTGTAGTGTGACAATTCGTAATAATTGGTACCTCTTGCACAGCTTGTTCAATGAGATTATTTTCTTTAAATGAATATGCAAAATGCTTAGGGGGGTGTACTGGGGAGGAGAGCTGAAAATAGCAAGTGCTGCTGGTATGTTCAGGATGAGATTCCAATTCAAATTCACAGGCCCACGTAGGTAGCTGAGAAAACATGGCATTTCAAGTGAGACCCTTACACTGCTCCAGTAAATTTTGCTTAATGGTTCCTTCAAAGTAAAATACTTGGGATATTAACTAATTATCTTCAGTTTGTATGTAGCACCATCTGTATGTTTTCTTAAATCCAGTAATGAAACAGTCAAAAACTGAAAGACTGGTGAACTTTCCCCCTGAGACCATTTGACAAAGTTGGATAATGAAATAAAAAAGAAAAATAAATTCAAATTCAGTTTAAAATGGTCATTAGTGCAGATTTTTTTTAAATAAAACATTTGAAATTATTTGGCATTAGTTTTATTTTTTAGATCCTATTTTTCCCTGCATTTCCAGTTCTACTTCAACACGTTATACAGCCAAGTCCATGTCAGCTATTATGCTTTTACTGTGAGTTAGCTCAGTAATGCTAAGCCACTGAAAACCCCTGCCTCTTAACTTTGTTCCTAGTGCCAGCCATTGTGAAGAACAAAACCTTTTCCTGGCACATTCACCCTCAGACACTTACTGTTATTATATTTAAGGTTTTTAACTCTGCTAAGAATGAAAGAAATCAAGATTCATTCTTTGAGAGCAGCAGGGACAGAGCCAAACCCTCTGCCAGACCATTACTTACTTGGGTTAGGTTGCTAGAGCCTTTGAAAAGGCAGCAGAAGTCCAAGTTCTCCTGAGTAACTGCAGGCCATTTCTGAATAAATAAACTATGACCATTTTTAAAAATGAAGATTTTGGAGACCATACAGTGTACTTTGTTGAAAACCTTTTTCTGTAGCAGTTTTATAGAGTGCAGCATTGGCAGCTTGTTGCAATAAACTTGTGAGTTGTTTAGACTGCATTTTACAGGAAAACAAATCAATTAAATATTTCATCTGAATGGTCTTCAGAAATAATGGATTTGGACTGAGTCACTTTGTTTTTAATCCACAAGTATTTAACAACTAGAGAAGGGAAGAAAATACTTTGCACCAATTGTACTGCAAAATCAATGCTTCTCATTTATTATGGGACAGTGCCCATACTCATTTTCTGAACATTAATCTTTTTCCTGTGGGAGGGGCCTTACACACCAATGAGTGTAACAAAAAATAGGCCCAGTAAAACGAAGTAGAGTGTTTAGGGAACCAGGTTCTATTTTACACTGAAAATCAGTGGTATTGTGAAGAGCTTGACTGTAATACATTGAAGAAAGAATTGACTCACARGATAGCTGCTCTTTAACTTTCTAAATGCTGCAATAAGCCACCATGTGAAATCCTGGAGAACAGTCACAGGTAATACAATTAATCATAATGATGAACTTGGCAGTATTAATAGTTTTCAAACCACTTTTACTTTTGGAATTTATCTTTGCTTTCATTATAATGTTATGTTAAAAAAAAACAAAATCATGCTGGAAAAATATGCGGCTTAAGCCAAGCTAAAACGTACCTTTATTGACTGAACTGAGTGTGAAACAAAAGAAATCACATTTAAATAAAGATGACCAGCAYTCTTCAGGAACATAATACAGTCATCACTGAACATCTCAAAGTCTACTAGCTTGGTTTTCTTTTCCAGTGCATAAACTAACTGCCAGTTCTCCTTGCCACTGGAAGCTACTGGTGCCTTCATCAACTATAAAAAAAAAATCAAACAACCTTGTATTACTAAAATGTCACAAGAGTTACAAATGATAGGTACGGACTTACAGGTGATCTCATGCTACATTTTTCTTGCAAAAAATTACTTATTTGTATTTGGGGTGCTTGCCTGTCTAAAACTGGAGATTTTTAAACTTCCTTAGGCAAAATAGAAATTTTAGTAATGGAAGAAATTTAGTAACAGGTGGAGAAGACCACATCCCAAAGATTAATTTATAGAAGATTGTAATGCAGCAAGTGCTTTCAGCATGGCCAGCAGAATTGTAGGTGGGTTTGATTACAGAGACAGAGATCACCAACTTAAATTTTGATAAAGGGGAAATGCCTGTTAAAGCATAGTAATTTCTTGATGCTGTCAAAGGAGTTAGGATCAAACTGGCATGCTACAGGAGAGACTCCATGCAGCACCATCAATCTTYCCATCCATGCAACTCCCTCTCTTAAATTATTTCAGTAAATTRTGAAGAACAGAATTAAAAGCCAACCTTACTATTTTTATCTGACTTGCAGTAGGTATCTAAATTAATCCTATGAATGTAATTATCACTCAGAATTACCTTGTATTCTGCAGGTTCTCCATATGTAGTCAGAATGTATAACTGGTCCTTTCTGTGCTCGATGTGGTAAATAACCCCTGTGGTTCGTGCTTGCACTAGAGTAGGTGACTCAAAGGGATGTCTGCAGTCAACCAGCCAAACTTCTGAGGTTGTCTTGCTGTTGCTGTTGATAGTGAGAAAACGCCTGTCTTTTGTGCAATAAATGTCTACAAAGAATCTGTAGGGAATAATTAAAAAAAAAAGAAAATGCTCACATTTTATTAATATTTTAAAAATACCTCAGTTGTTTCAGAATCATGAGCTTCCATCTGCAAGGTAAGAAACAGCATTCCTGTAAGTAGACCGGAGAAATGTCAGGCTACTTGGCTCTCAGACCCACTTCTGCAGATTTTAAAACCCCACAATCTTGTGTGTGAAACTTGAAATATGCAAGGAAAGCTGTTCAGTTTTTGCCCAACTGAATTTAGGCTTTTGCATCAGTGAGCTAGACTGATGCACTGAAGTTCACTGGTGCATACAGACTTTAAAACTCAGGAATAATGTAGAACTTTTTATTGAGCTTGTTACCCTTTAAAAAAAAAGGTAGTAATGGCTAATTAATAAATTACTCATGTGGGAACAGCAATAATAAAATTCAGAGCTGTTATAAAAATAAATTGATAAAATGTCTCTGTGCTACTGACCTAACTTTGTCTGAAGCAAATAAGACAAAAGGTACTATTTGAAAAATAAAATAAAAAGCACAGAGGCCTATATGAGGCAAGATGTGTAGTGTTGCAATGATAAGGCTGAAAACTAGGAACTATCTACTGGTTTAAAATGCCTCTAAAATTTAGAAACAGCCAGCAGAATGATAACCAGTTGCTGGAAGCTAATAGAGAAGTTCAGGCTGAGATTCAGATTCAAATTTCTGTGACTCATCCTAATTAACTGGAATGTCACATGTTGGATCAGAATAGTCTCTTTGCCATTTTGAACCCTTAAGACTGGATGTTTCTAAAAGCAAAACTCCCAACACAAAGATCCAGATTCCATCAAGAAAACGCAGGCTTGAGTACCATCATCTGCATCATACACATCAGGTACATGACTGCAATAATGATCTCTCTRGAATTCAGAATATTTGACTGCTGAAGAAAAGGATGCTTTAGATAGCATTTTCAGTGCCTTTAATTATTTGTAGGTGGAGGAACTCAATTTTTTTTTGTACTGTTGTTTCTTCTAATTGCACCCTCTTAACATCTTTAGGAGGACAGGCACAGAGGGGGACCTGAAGTCTGCAAGAAAAATCAGCCTCCTGCCTTTCTAATACCCATGAATTTGGCAAGAATGTGACACTGCATTCAGTAGAGATTCCAAGAGTTCAGCTCTGCTGATCCTGCCTCTAGGAAGGTTGAGCTGAAATCTRTGTTACACATTCCCCAAGGACTCTGACCTTGATATTACAATTTTTTAAATCTTTGTAGCTTTTTTAAGGAAATCAAGAAATCTTCAGCTTCTAGAAAAATATTTGACTGCAACTAGAAGAGCTGTTGGGAAGCAGAACAGAGTTGCTCAATGGCAATACAAAAGGATGTCTTGCCATCCCCGATGAAGGAGCTCAGCTATGAGAYGCTATAGCACATGAACCTTTAGAGTAGGTTTCTAGTAGATTTACTGTAATGACTGTGACCTTCAGAATTATGCCAACAGTTTCCCTGTGGGGAAGTGCCAGGTCAATGCAACTTGATGTTCCAAAACTATGCATCAAATGCAGCTGGAAAAAAGGGATCTTATTTATTCCATCTCCATTGCAGATTTTTTTTCTGTTTTGGCTTTTTCTTTTTTTTTCATCTGATGAAAGTATAAGTGGAATTTCTTTACTTAGTATGTAACTTGAATTAACAATAATCACAAATATTTATGGAATGCTGTGCAATATACCACGTGCTGCAATGCTGAAAAACTAGTTCTGCACTCATTTTAGCAAAGAGCCTTCTTGTCTTCCTAAACCAGTGCTTAAAGAAAGGTTATTGAGAGGGTATTCAGTCAACAATAGTTCTGTCTCTTGGAATGTTGTAATGATTTTCCTCATCCATTACCCAGAGCAAGGATTAGCCTGAACTTAAGTATTTTTTTCAAAGATGTATCAGACATCAATAGCAGAGAAAACAAAATGAAATGCACAGTCTGATTTAGACTGTATGAAACTGTCACACATTCATTAAAGGACACCCTGACCTGAGAGTGACCTTGACATTTATAAACTCAGCTGAACTCATGAGGTAAGAGAGGAAAGTTAAATCTCTGTTGATCACATATCAAAAGGAGAATAGACCACATTCTCAGACCATATAAGGCACTACTGACAGCCGAACACAACTTAAAAATGCATTTTACCATTTGAAATAAGATGTGGAACACTTTGTTTTCCAAACATATAAATATTACATACATATAGAATACTTYAAAATACATAAAAGACTTGTTACATTTTACATAAGTATTACCTTGCATCTTGTTCTGTATAAACTAACTTAGTATATTTCTGATAAGTAAAAGTGGTCATGAACACATTCTGGCATTTAAGGTTCTTCTGAGTTGTGTAGTACAAAACATCATCTGCAGCCCATTCTGGAAAAAAAAAAAAGACAAATGCATATAAAATTCAGACCAGTGTATAGCATTACTGAGAGAAAATGGGCGTTCCATGGACACTGGGCCCAATGCTRAAAAAAGTGGGTTGAAGCTCACAGGGAACTGAGGACAGCACTTCTATCCCATGRGGACTCAGCTAAGCACCACAAGGTTTTTCTATGTTTTCTATGAATACCACAGAACAAGAATCTCATAATGTATTCGGAAAAAAGAAAAAAAAAGAAAAGCAGAGGACAATGTTGCAGAGCCCAGTAACAGGAGGCTCTTGACCCTGAGTGGGCTCTGGAGGTAACAGGAAAATAGGAGATGTGGTTGTTTAAAACAGCAGAGAAACAGAGGTTTACATGGAGTCAGCAAGATAATAAAGACATCATAAGCTCTGCACTGCTGCATGTGACTGCACACAAGCCATTTAGAGAAAAGAGATGATGCATGTGCCCCATGGGTACTGCTGAGATAAAAATTCTCCAGTTTTCTATGCTTGTGYATGTGTTCCCCAACACAGAAAGGTACAAATACAGGAACCTTGTTATTCTGAAGCTATTCTGACTGATCCAGCCACATTACTGCCATTTCTGCTGCTCCGACAGCCACCAGAATGATGTTTAACATATATGCTTTTGAAAGCTATTGTRTGCTGTCTCATGCATAAATACAGATTTTCAGTACAAACCCCAAGAAGTACTACACCAAAGTAACATGAATGCTTTGCTTTCTGAACAGCAGTGTGGGCCCAAAGTGCACAGGGTTTGCTATGAAGACAACCTTCAGAGGGGAAATCCAAGTTCTTCTATAACCTAGCCTACAAAAGATCAAGGTGTAATTTTTCAGGAACTTCTGTTAGTCTCCCTKCTATTGCCTATACCTCAATACAAACACATAAACTTTGCAAGTGATTATGTGACCTAATTCTCTTGGTCATGATTGAGGCACCTCTGTACCTYACTCACATCTCACTAAGTTTACAGAATTTTCCATTCTGATAGTCATCTTTTGTACTCTTGTTATCTGCCACACCTATTTATGCAACACKAAGTTGTTTTTTTAACTGCACTGATTCTTCTGGATCAACCTAGATGGATGTTCAAATCAAGCACAGTGTAAAATGTAAAAYTGTAAAAGTGTAAAATTGGCAAATTTGCATGTTTAGTTTTCAACAGGCAATATAATCTTCAGTGTGGAAACACAACACTAAATTCTTGCTACTCCTCATTTTTTAACAAGGAAGCTTTACCTGGAGTTTTATTTTTTTTGCTCTGCCCAGGAAAATTGCTTACTGCACTATGTGTACCTGATGACATCCAACAACATAATCCAAAGTACAAGATGYAGAACACTGAATGCATACTATTATACTCTTTTTGCTATACTCTTTAATAGACTATAAAAAAAGATTTATTTCCCAYTCACTTCAATTTACTTCTGCTTCTATTGGCAGCAATGTAAAGCTCTGTAATCTATTCTGAAAGAACTGATTCAAGGCCTGGCTGACTTCATTGGGCTCTGAAGTGTGATCACATCCTAGATTCCAGCAGAAATTCCAGCCGAAATTCCAGCCCATATTCACTAGTAGGTAGCATTTTCACACTTTTCAAGAAAAGCTTACTGTAAACAGCTACCAGTGACTTCCGTTGTAGCTGTAAGGTTTTATCAACTAGAACATTTCTCAAAAAGATCCGTATGTGGCAAATAGTCATGGCATTATATTTTTAATACAGCATATTGGATTCAATAGAAAAAAAAAAAATTACATGCACGACTGTTCTAAGATGTACAAATGCTTGTTTTTACAATGAAGGAAAACTTGTATCCARAGAGCAGTGCCTTTCATCCATAACAGAAAACCTGAAATTGTGCTGTGTTAAAGAAATCATAAATAAGAAATAATTCAACATTAACAATTAAATGTTGTCTTTTAAAAGAAAAAAACAAAAAAAATTATTTGTAAACTACGAAAAGTGTTGTGTTGAAAAACTTTATGATCCACAGGATATTTAGAAACAACTTACCAAAGCTAAATACACTTGGAATTACTTTTTCCACAACAGGAGAATTACCAAGTTTCATAATAATGCAGGTTGCYTCTTCAGAATTTTCACTTTTTAAGCTAATGGCCATGTATCTCTGRTCTGGTGAAATTCTGATCCGTTGAATAAAGGCATCAGAAAAGCCAAGATCTTCAGTACTGAATAAAATGTCAGCATTTCCTTCATCTACTACATAAAAAAAAGAGATAGCAAAAATCCTGTAATTAAGACTCTGTCAAAATGAATGGTGATTGTTATCTCTATATTTAACAAACCTGCCTCCAATATTCAGAAACATTCTACTGGAATTTATTAACACCAAATACTTGTCTTGTAAGATATTTGCAAACGTACTTTGTTAAAGTAAACAAAAAATAAACAATAAATTTTAATTCCAAGAGAAAAAAGTTCTGTAGTTATTACTAAAGATATTTTTTAAAAGTACATCTTGGCTTCTAGTAAGCATATAGAATTTCAAAGCWTAGAGAGCTAAAGAATGGTTGTTTCTAAGAAATAAAATTAGTAATTTTTTCCCACCCCCTCAGAAATAAAAAAAACATGGATGCTCTTTTCCTTTTTTTTTCAAAATAAGGTAGGGCTCTGAAAAGAAATGTCTCCTCTATCTTCTCTCCAGCAACTTGCCTTAGTTTTAATATATACTGTTCTCTAACTCTTTACCTCATCTTTTCAGATTCAGGATGCTAGAATTATTACTCTATTACAGAACTGTATAAAAGTATTTTTTAGTTAGGAAACAGACAGGTTAAGCATTCTTTTCTTTCCAGTAAGAAAAGAACAGTAAGTGATACATGTACCTTTTTTAAGAATCCTACCATATTAGGAATAGAAATCCCTTACCATCATTGGCTTTTGTAAGATATATGCAGCCATTCTCCTCAAAGTACACATTCTCTCCAAACCTCATCTGTTCAATACAAACAAACATACAGTTATTTCCTTTGAATGCCTACATTCAATCTTTTCTCCTGTACAGAACTGTAACATGTAACAAATTGTAACAATTGTAACAAATCGCAGAACATATATTTGATACTAAGGAAGGAATTGCACACATCAGAAATGCTTTTTCTCTGTTAGGGTACTTAAGCTACATCTACCTCCTCTAAATTTCACAGAAGGCTCAGATCACTGGCAACTGTTCTTCCAACTTAAAATGCCTTGTATTTTTTATCCAAAAGTCAGATGGCTATTTAATCTTTACTTTTTTTTGCCTATGGAGAAATGAAGATAAATTCACTATTATAACAGGTATAAGCTGTTCARAACACAAGCTGTTACTATCCACCATTATTAAAATATTCAAAACTTTTACTATAAAAAAATCAGTAAAAGAGCATTTTATAGCAGGAACGGCATCACTGGTTTTTATTTGTAGTCAGTGATGGGAAATGTTTGTATTGTTTGCCACTTACCCTTGGGCTTCCTGAATGGAGTGTATACATGTTGTGCAATTCTTCCAGTTTTGCTTTGATTCTTTTTGTTATAGCTTTGTATGTTGGTGAAATGTCATTCCAGTTTTCCTGCTCTGATTTCAGAAAGTTCTTGTGCAAAATGTCTGAAGTTACTGGGGATGTATTTTGCTTCTTTTTGGAAGGGACTCTTGTTCCTTCCTGCTGAGTAAGGAAAGACAACAACAGCTACAAGCCAGCACACTGGACACCAATCTGAATATAATRAGGGATCATTTCCTGAGCCACAGGCCCAAAACCACCTTTGCATTATTTCAATAGTACMTGCCAATAAAAATTGCAGGTGAAGTATCTTTTTATTAGTCTTTATATTTATCAGTCTTCCTGATATTTTGGGGAGACACCACCAAACATGCTTTACTTGACACATTTATTGAGGTGTTCTCTTCAAAATTTAAGATACTATTAATTGACTATAAGCAAATATGTTTGTTCCTGTTCTAGAACTAGGTTTTAGTTTTTATGGAATTTTATTATTTTTCCTTCTTCACGGGTTTCTTCTATAATTTCCTGTCTTTAGAGTGTAATTTCTTACTTTCTTTCCTAGAAAACACCACCCACACCTCTGTCCCTGTACCTAGGAGTCCTAGCAGCTTGTTCAGGTTCYTGCTCCACTTCCTCAGAAGTGTTAATACAAATATTCATAAGGCACAGAATGAAGCAAAGCAGTGAACTGATATGGGTTCTGCAACAATTTTATCAGGAGTAAGTTTAAGGATTTGGTTTTCCATAAAATGTGATACTACTGCTACCTCACTGCCAACCAAGCTGTCTTCTATTGTAAACACGTTAAAAAAGTGTTAAAATTGCTAGAACAATGCCACTTCCTCTGGCATGCTGTGAAATCTCACTTGATCAATAAGCTTCACAACATACATTACACTACATAACACTGCACAGTTCACACAAAGTAGCATTTTATAACATTCARTGTATGATGTGAATGTGTCTAAGCTTAAAAAGGAGCCATGTTTTATATTCCATCCTCATTTTCCATCACGAACTGTTGGCTTGTTCCTAGTTTGTCCTCAGAAATGCATGAGAACCAAAATGTGAATGTTTCAAGTAGGCTCTGAAGGGAAACCATCTGCCACAGTTACCAAACTCCCTATGAACATAAAGCACATCCCTGATGAGAGCTGAAAGTGTCACTGGTTCAAACCAATGCTCCCTCTCACTTGGCACAAAGCAAAGGAAGCATAAGGCAGAAAAATCGTGAAAGTTCCTAGAGAAGCTCTGGAACAACTGAGTGATTGGCTAGGAGAAAGAAACTGCTGGATGCCAAAGTTGTAACTCCTCACCCCAGTCACTGGAAAAACTGTTGTAAGAGAACACCATCCCCAAAGCTAGATCAACCAAATAAAAACCTCACAGTGGCCATAAATGCATACTTAGGAAAGCATAAYAATGGGACAAGCCAGGGTATTTTCTTCAACAGGTATTCCCCCAACCTTCAAGAATTTTAGGGTCGGAATTTTCCTGACCTGAACATGGTTTCTGGATATATAACAAGTCTCACATCTATGACATATGTATCTCATGTATGTCTCCTCTAAGACCCACGTAAAATTTTAGCATCCACAACTTATTTTAACAGGTTCTACACTTTATTATTTTGATRATTGCCCTCCTTTTGTTTTCAGCAGTTCCAATTGTATTCATTTGSATATATTGAACACAGCTGGTGGTCACAGTGTAGGGCTATATTAAGAGCTATTGTGCACCTCCCTGCCTAGAGAAAAGCCARCAATCTAGATTTTCAGGATAGCAGAGGATTTCAGTGATGATTGGTTTGCAAACGTTTGCTCCAAAGCAACCAGGCACAGCTTCCTTTCAGGTGAAAACCACGTGTTTATATCCTGGGACCAGTGTCACAGAGCAGCATTTGTAAATATGTTAGTGGAGTGCCAGTCAATAAACTGAACCACACATTCTACTCCATCCTGACYTCCTGTGTTGTTCTTGAAACGCTTACATTTGACACATAGACTTAGGAACTCTTTATGGTGACAAATAAAACAGCTACAAGATAAACTTTGTGTCGCCTCTAAAGAAATACTGTCAATTTCAAACAATTTTAGGACAACCGTGTTTCCACCTGAAAGCATGTTTAGGATCCAATAAACCAAAACATAAATATTTTTAAACAGTACTTATGCATWTAAGTCAGTTTCCAGCCTGTCATACTGCAGTAAACTTTTAAAATACCTTTGGCAAAATCTGTATTAGAAACACTGAGACAGAAGACCTGAAATTATTTCAGACTGCTTTCTGACTCTGYGCATGATACACTGCCATGCAATTATGCAATATTTATCTACAGAAATMAATGCAAATACCTTTTATAGTTTATAATTTGCAAGCATGATTATGAGATGTCAGTATTATATTTTAAAGTCATGGAAACCATGACTTATTGGTCAGCATGAAAAAGTCCAGTTTTTTTGAGCTAGCTCACAGTCTGGTATCATCAGTTTGRACACTTTGCCTCTACACTGGCTGATCTCTGTCTGCAGTCTTCTCCTGACACTGCCTAAGTCTTTCTGGAAGACACCATTTTTTTTCAAAATTACTACAGCAGGAAAATCAACTAAAATTTACCTTTCTGTCAAAACACCAGATGAAAGCTGAACAGTGGTMCATGTCTTTGAACATAACTGGAATTTATCTCTCTGCTTCAAATTCTCAGAAAAAATAYGTTTCTTCACCATGTAAAAAGTATGACTGGCTCCCTTTACARATGTACCAAGGTGRTTGTTGRTATTAAGTGTGTACTCAAACAGCATACCTTGCAGGAAAAGAATCTGCATGGCAGGATGYTTCCAGGAGCTGCAATCCTGTGTGTCCATGTACTTTCTGAACATTCCAGRATGTGGCACTTTTTTGGTTTAATTTTACTGTACAGACACATTGTTTGAGGAGGGCTATGCTTGTAGTACTTGGCACTGAAGGTCAGCCCTTGGAGAAGATTTCGCAGTGTAGCGCAGCACATCCTAACCTTCATTTCTTGATAGCCAACTTGAAATTTCTGGAAATCCCGAACCGGCGATATTTAGAGTCAATGTGTGAAATACACATCACATAAAATGCAGGCCAAACTTCCTCTCTCAAAGAAATGCGATTGATTCACTAGACAAATCAAATGAGAAGGCACAGTAATGATTAGGCTGTTTGTTAATAACTGGCACTCGCATTTTAACCTGCATATTCCTGGGGGSTCAAAGTTTAACTTCCAGTCAAACTATGAGCAACGGGGGGGGGTGTGTGCAACCGTGCACGTCCAAACGCTGAAAAAAAAAAAACACTGTGAAAGTCTGGAGAAGCCATCCCCCCGCTCCCTACCATAGAACACCGCTCCCTACCATAGAACACCAACCCCACGATCCCTCCAGAGGGTCCCTCGGCAGCAGGAGCTGAACCCCGCTGGCAGGAACACTGCGGAGGAGCGGCCCCACGTGTCCCGCCGGGGTCACCGCTCCCTGCTCCCCGCCAGCGCTGCCCCTCGGCCCGCGGCCCCCGCAAGGACTCGCCGTGGCGCTCCGGCCGCTCCCGGTCCCGCTCCCGGTCCCGCTGTGGCGGGGTTCCCGGGATGAGCAGCCAGCCGAGCGGCCGCGCTCCCTGAGGCGCTGCCCCGAACCAAGATGGCGGCAGGAGCTTCAGCAGCCGCGGCGGCCGAGCGCCGCTGAGGTCAGCGCGGGGCCGCGGAGCCACCACGGGCGGCGGGCACGGTCCCTGGCGCGGCTTTCCCGGGTGACCGCCCTGCCATACCCAGTCCCGYACCCGGGCGCGGAGACAACAGGCGACTTGTCTTGAGGCGCGCCCCCGCCGTGCCAGGCCTGAAGAGCACCGCACTGCCGGGCCGCCGAAACTGACTCGGGGCTGCCCTCAACAAAGATGGCCGCGCYCGTGGTCCCGCTCCATCCCTAGCCCGSCCGGTCCCGCAGCCGCTGGGCGCTYCGCGGCGCGTCCCCGCCGCCCAAGGCAGCGCTCCCTCCCTCCCTCCCGCCGCGCCAGCTCCCGGCGCTCCCTCCGCATGGCCGAGGCTGCCGGCTCCCCGCCGGTGCGGGGCAGGTGCGAGGCGAGCGGCGCGGCGGCGGCCCGAGCCCGCTGGCGGCTGCTCGGACAGGTAGGGGGAGCCCGCGGGCGGGAGGGGGGTCGGCATGGCGGGGCGGCCGGCGTGGGGTCTGTCCCTGTTCCCTTGGGCCGGGCTGCGGGAATCTCTCGGGCGTGCGGAGCGCTGCCCYCACCCCTGACAGGAGGAGTGCGAGCAATACTATGGTGGGTCGTGCAAAGGGGCTTGCAGCACTTTTCCTGAAAAATATGATTAAAATATATATGTGTATATACACCTCCATGGCTCTCTAATGAGAGGGGGAGTGGAGGGGCAGGCACTGATCCCTTTACTCTCGTGACCGGTGATRGGACTTGAGGGAATGGCCTGAAGTTGTGTCATGGGAGGTTTAGGKTGGATATCAGGAARRGGTTTTYCACCCAGAGGGTGTTTGGGCACTGGAGCAGCACCCYAGGGAAGTGGTCACAGCACCAAGCCTGCCAGGAGTGTGTGGACGATGCCYGCAGGCACATGGTGTGACTCTTGGGACCCGGAGTTGGACTCCTGGTCCTGAYRGATCCCTTCCAACTCAGCTTATTCTGTGATTCTAAAGATTGCCCTCAGTAGATCCCCAAAACTGCCCTTGGCCTGTGTTAAGGGAGGAGGATGAGCATCCCACTGGCACCCCGCAGCCTGAGGGCACCTTGGGGTTTTCAGGCCATAGTTTGACACTTTCTRTAGATGTTGTAGCTCCTACCTCATTCCTGCCCCCTGGATGCCTTTCGTGGGGAGCTGGGGAGGGACGCTGCTCACCTGCAGAAAAAACTGCACTTTGCTGAGGCTGCAGGACCTTGCTTGGAGAGGGTAAGGAGGAAAGAGCACCCGGTGCCACCTGTGCTGTGGCGAGCAGCAGCTTCTCAGCTCCAGCCTTCCACACTGTTTTAAACCCTCTCAGAGCAGCGCAAGGCTGGAAAGGATTCCTCTGCTGATGAGCACAGGCTTTGAACCTCTAGTCTGTTTCATTGGTGGTTATTGTTGTGGGATGTGAAATTTATGAGTGTTTGATTCTGTGCAGATGGACATCTGGGGCTGCCCATAGACAGCTGTCTCCGAGAGGGTGGAGAGGTGGCACTGGGTCTATGGTGGCAGCAGGTTGGAAGGGGCACTTGGCTGCAACTGAGTGACAGAGTGAAAGCCTGAAAACATCAATATWGGACTTTATGTATGTCTTTGGTTTCTAAATTTGCTGGTTCTGTTTAACAGAACCAACCTCTGTTTTATTATACTCCAAAGCAGGAAATGTCAAAGTTATTGGTAGGAATATCAGGTTTGTCGTTGTAGGTTTCTGTTCTCATAGACTACATAAGCTGCATGCAGTGGCTATACTAGCTGTTATTTCTTCTCAGCATRTACTGCCTTTGGCATATTCCTGTCTCTTAAAATCATAAGGAGCTTTTCATAACAATAGAATGAGGTTGTGGAAGAGTGCATGTAGRTATTTGGGGAGAAGGCTTCTGTTTCTCCCTCAAACTACATGTAGCTGTGACCTTTTCCTCTACAGATTCCCTTGGTTTTTCCATGTTCTTTAGCTTTTCTGTTGATTTTTGTATGGTACAATGAGCAAGGATCAATTTAATCTTACTGGTACAGTAAAAATCAGGTCTTTGCTCTTTGCTACAGTGGTGCTCAGATCTATCTATGGATTGGAAGAAGGTATCAACCTCCTTTTATATCCATTTTTAAAGGAGCACTGTCAAAGTGTTTCTTACAGTGCTTTTAAAAGCGCTTTTCATACTGCTTATAATAAYGCCTTACGTGAAATCTTTTCTGTGGTGTGTTTATATATTGAATTTGCTTTCATTCAATGCACACACAAATTGATTTACTATAGTAAGGATGCTTGAGTGCATGCTCGCTGATTTAATTAAGAAAAAAAAGCCCTTTTTATGAGGTATCCTATGAAGCTAGCACAAAGAGCCAGGGGTTTGCATAATTACCTGTGTGTTCTTTATCAATGAAATGTTTTATGTATGTACTGAGGTTGAAGTTTGGCAATATTTTAAACTTAGCCTGTCGGAATCAAGAAAAGTATTTTTTGCATTTAAAAAAATGCTAAGGGAAGTTACCCATTTACTGTACATTTGTAAATGACTGGARTAATTTCTTGAAGGCTGTGTTTTGAGCTCTGCCAGTCTCTGTGACTGATGGTATTATCCAGTCTGTAGTTTTTGGCAGGGAAGTTAGAGCAATAAGCATGCATTAAGTTTCTCCTTATAGAAAGTTTCATGAAATCTGTAAGCTTTATGTATTTATCCTGCCTGTTACCTTCCTTTTGYCCTTCTCACACAAGTCTCAGAATCACAGATTATGCTGAGCAGGAAAGGACCCACAAGGATCATGAAGTTCAACTCCTGGCCCTGCACAGGACCGTCCCCAAGAGCCACACCATCTACCTTGCTCACCTGCTAATGTCATTAGTTTCCAGAATTGTAAAGTAAAATCTAAAGTGAGGACAGGTCAATGACTTTCTTTTCCTGAACAGAAGTACTTCTAAAACAATTTTTCATCTCTCCCTGCTCCTCTCTCTGTGAAGGGTGCGGGTGCTCCAGATCTTTCTCCATTTTTTTTTGTTAGTCTTGAGTCTGTAAACTGCAGCTGGAAAAGGCAATTTGGTAAATAAATTATTTGTAAAGAGAAATACTGTAGTCCTTTGGATAATATTTAGAGTGCAGTTACAGATTATGTTGTAGGTGATTGTTCAGAAACTTTCTTGCATGTACAAAATACCACATTGTARTCACTGCCAGAGGACTAGCGGAGGTTTGTAGACCATAAGCTGTTACTGAGTTTGGCTCTCAGTGCAACTAGGCCTAAAACAATGATATACACAGTTAAATATAGGGAATTTCAGTGACTGCCTTGCTCCATGTTGTTTGTGGGAGATACTTTTTTGGTGAGTTTTTTTAAAGAGAAATCAAAGTTCTTTGGGTTTTAAAGGGAGTCCTAAAGATGGTCTTAATACTGTGACTAAATACCAAGAACCTTGCAGTTGAGATCTGTGGTTGAGAATCTTTCTAAGAAACAGGAGACCGGTGATGAGTTTAGATAGGTTTGACACCTTTTGTTTTTACCAGTGGGTTATACTATAGCAGCAACATATCTTTGTGGCTTGTCTAACACAACTGTGATCCTTTTAGGAACAGACTTGAGAAAAAAAAAAACTCTTTGATCCTTATGTAAAAAATACAGTTAGTACAAGGGAGAATATGTTACATTTTTTATATCTGTTTTCTCAGTTATACTTAGGGTTTTAAAAGATTTGGTCTGCTGTTGTAATTTTTAAATCTTAGACCACTTCATTTTTGTTTGAGGCTGTGGGAGAAATGTTCTTTGAGTACTCAGCTGCTCATGAGATTTTCTGCTAACCCTGAGAATGAATTTTACASAGTGGCTATAAGATTTCTCAGTAAAACAAAAACTGAAAATAGGAAATTGTTGCTGCTGGATTTTTTTTTCTTGATAGTAATGGCTTGCTATTGGTTTAAAATAGCCCCCAAGTGACACACTTCTCTGAAAATTAGGTCTTTTTTCTCTAKTTGTTAAGATAGTCCATTTTTTTTCCCAGGCACACCACTGTTACGTGAAGGTYTTAATTTTGCTAGTCTTATAATTTTGTTCTCCTGCTTTGATGTTTTTGCATTTTCCTTCATGTGTGTATTTTTCTCACATGGTACAGAAGTACTGTGGACAGCACACAGACATTTTTAATACTTTATGGAAAATGCCTGTGGCTTTCATATGCTGAAACTTGCCAATGAAAATCACTCCAAAAGCAGTAAGCCTGGTGCCTTAGACCTGTTAGAAACCAACAATGTAGTGAATACAATTGTTCTGCTCACACATGTAGGTCTTCCAAATATCCTGCAAAATAATAGGTCATGGGCCCAAATTTTAAGGCTGTAAGATGCGACTGCATTTTCAGTTAAAGCATGTCAAAACAGGTTGGGTACAGCAAAAAAAAAAAAAAATCACTGACCCGTTCATTTTTTTTTGTACACATCCTGTATGCAAAGCTTCTATTTCAAGTTTCATAATTCTGGAGAGCTGTTTCTCATTTGATTTATCTCTAGTTGGCAAAAACWTGTAAATTGCAATGCTGTCATACTCAATGGAACTATTCCTTATAACTCTATCAAGTTATAGTGATGAGTTTATTTTCTACTCTGTTTATTTTTTTTTATTATTTTTTTTTTAATCCATCACTGGACACTGCATATGCACCTTAATTTTAAAAATGCAATGGCAATTTATGTGTTCTCTCTAATGGTAGGAGAAAGAAGTTAAATCCAGGACACCTCTCCTTCCACACCACTGCTCTAAAGAATAAGTCTCTTTGTCTGGCAGGGAAATGCTGACTGTCTTCTGAGCAATGGCACAGCTCAAACCAGCTGGGTTCAGGGTTTTCCTGCACAGAGGGGGTGATACCTCACTCCCTAAAGGTGGTTGAGTAGAGCAGACTATGCAGGACAGAAAGAAAGCCCATGTTTTCACTTTCCTGAACAAGTGTTTTAATCATTTAAGAAATGCAAATGACATTCTGTCTCTGTCACTGCCTTGAATTCTTCAATTTYTTAGCACTGATCTCAGTACTGTCAGAGTATTTTGGGGCTCACCTGAAGTCTGGCTCATGGATCAGTCCCATTATGGGGGCCTGGAAGGGAATACACACTTGTGGCATCTGAAARTCTGGGGCCTCAGACAGGTAGTGATTTTCTCAACTGGAGCAGCTTTGGTAGTGTCTCTGCAAGTGTGCAGCACAAGGCTTGTAGGCTAGGAAGGGGTCTGCCAGGGGAACACACACAGCACTTGGGCACCTGAAGAGCATGTTTTGGGTTTATAATTTAAATTCTACAAAAGATACCCTTGTTGTTGTCGTTTTGGGTTCTTTCCCCCCTCTATAGGGACAGTGAGTGGCACTGATATTGCTTGGTGAGGGCACTGCTTGGGCTGTGACTCTTGGTGAAATGAGAGGATAGGGGACAGCCCAGTCTGTCCCTCTAATTTTTGGATGGCTTTGCTGGAGTGTGAGCTTAAAGAAAAGCAACTTTGTGTACTTCTGAACACAGTATATTTGCTTTCCTCTTATTGAGACATAATGCATAACCCAGACTCTTGACCCCATACCACTGTATTTTGTTCAGGCTTGACATCCGTGGACTAGTTATTTGTAAGTATTAGCTGATGGCATAGCTGTTATGGTTTGCCTCTTCACTCAAATAGGCAAGGATTTGTTCTTTTYTTGGAAGTTTTATTCTTAATGTTTGATTTGTTCTTCTTTTCAAAGGTTCTGAGGAGAAAGCACTTGAAAGATGTGCACCTCCAACAAGTGTCTGTAAGAAGGTTTGCATCATTCAATCTCTTTTCAATAGAAGATCAGAATACAGAAGAGGAAACTGGGACCTGGGTTCGGTATAGAAGCATCTTTTATCCCAAGTACAGTGTCTCCCTAAGGTAACCACCATTTAAGTCTTACATACTTTCTAAGATCTTGAATGGGCCTCAAGTATAAAACTCATTAGTCATTCTTCCAGTGTTTTGTGTAACTAGGGCATAGTTTACAAATAAACTGGTAAATGTTATTTTTAGTCGTTTATTGCAGTAAGCAGCTTGTCTGACTTTTTTCTGGTACTTTTCACTGAAGTGGCAGAGCTTGACTGAAAATACTCATGCTTGTAGCTAAAACAGGATGCAAATATGAGCATTTATTTTATATTTTAATAGCTTTCTGTTTTGACATTCTTCAGCTATAAATAGGAAAAAAAAAGCACCTGAACACAGTTATTTATAGTCCTAATAAAAATTTTTATGACATGAGGCCATTAATAATGTTCTGAAAGRTTTTTGGTAATGATCTGTATTTTATTCAGTTTTCTTCTTCATGGTTCTTTTAAAACTCAATGATAATTTGCAAGCCAGTTTTCAAAATATAATAATAAAAAAATTCCTCTTCTTACAAAATATTATATACTTAATGAAGTAATCTGCTTTTTATTAGAACAGATCAAACAAATAAAGATACTCAAAGAAATTGACAACAAAAAAGTCCCCCCACACACAAACAAAAACCCCACAGAAACCTGAACCCTCCCCTAAAACCCTCTGAAGGCATGTCAAYGAGTTCTCAGTAGTTTTGATTGTAACTCCTGTTCATTACTATGGTTGTGGGGTTTTGTTGTTGTTTCTCCTTTCTCCAGCTTTGGTCTTCTTTTCTGGGTTCAGTTTTGAATGTATCTACTGCACTTGCTTTGCCTCAGCGGGTATGCRGATATCACTGCAGCAGTAACTTAAGAATCCCTGAGTTAATACCATTCTGCAGTTCTCATTAGCTCTCTGAAGGGGGAGGATTTTGCATTTTGCACAGTGGAAGATGTTCTGGAGAGGCCAAATCAAAAAGTGCATTTTTGTTTGCCTGGGACTTTAAACTAAAGTTTGTCCTAGAAATGAAGATTAAACACAACAAGTGACCATCATTAAACTGCAAAATATTTGCAAGGTTTTAAAATTAACCAATGAGGAAAAACCAAACTGAACTAAAGGTACCCCGCAACACTACATGCAAATCATTTTAAATTTGCATCTGGATGTAAAATCAAGAATAAAATTCCTCAGAGCTTTATAAAATCTTAATTTTCGGTTTTCCAAGTGTACACTTGTTGATGTTAAAAGGGTTCAAAAGGAAACTTTTCCTCTGGAAAAGTTTGTAACAGAAGTAGGTGAACAGTGTGTGTTTTTCCATGTATAGACTTTTCCTGTAAGCCAGTWATGAATGCTGTGAACTAATTCAGACACTCAGTCTTCATAATGTCTTTGTGCAWTGTCCCTTTTCCTTGTTTCTAGGTCTTCAGAGGCGCACTGGGGATAGGAAACACAAGGTGTTTGGTTAAAATTGGGCTGAACAAGTCTGCAGTCCCTTAAAGTGAACTTCTGAGCTCCTCCARTCAGTCTCCTTAGTTCACTGCAGTCGTTTGCAACACTTGCTGTCAATTACTTGATTTACAAGTTCTGGAGTTTTTAGGTTGGAGACGAGCTAAGGTTCACTTGTGCTGGCAGTATAAAAGCCAAGGGAATGTCAGACAGATCGTGCTCTGACATTTGATAGTTGTGTACTTCTGTTTCCACCACTTTCTATGCCATCATTTTACTTGGTATTATTTGCCTAATAGTAGTTTCATTGATAATAAGACAGAGCTCAAACTATAGGCTAAGAACAAGCTTGTTTATGCATTATTTTATTATATTTCTTTTATCTTGTCCAGTGGAAATGTCTAGTTCCTGTGCTGGAGCAGACTCTGAATACTGAGGAGAACAGGGACATTGTGTTCTGGTGGGGTTTTTTTATTTTATGTTTTCCCTGCATTTCTTCCTTCCCAAAAGACATTCAGTGACCTCTAAAATTGGTAATCACTGATCATTTTAGGAATAATGATCGCAACTTGCTTAATCGTACACTTCTGTATTAAACTGTTTTCTCCACACTGAGGCAGTGACAATAGAGTATATTTATTATTTAAGAATATTGCAGGATGGTGAAAAAGGGAAGGAGAAAATACTGTGTTTTTTTCCAAAATCAAAGTATAAATAGACTGCAGCAAAATCGGCTTTACCGCAACTCTTTGTTAAATAAAGTTTCTTTCCTGTTTTGCAGAAGCAGTAATTTAGGGGGTAAACATAACAGTTTAACATACATAACAGAGCAACTGTTCTTTTTGCTGAAACTTTCATATCTAGAAGATAAGAAATCTTGGAGTAAGCATTCCTTGATCTTTGAGAACTGTTCATGTGTTGGAAGCTTAAGGATTCTCTGTATATCTGACAGTCTTCCCTTGGTTTTTCCTCTGTCCAGTGGCAAAATATAATTTATAATAATATTAAACAGCAGAAATAATTTTAGCAAGTTAACAAGAGCATATTGTTAGCAGTAACATCAGTCAGGTAAATCCAGAACAGAATGCTTCAATAGCAGAGCCTTTTAATATGTTTTTGTTAGGAAAAAAAATGTTGCTATGGCCCCTCTAAAATCTTGACAAAAGTGCTTTTGAATTTTTATCTACATTTGTTTTCCTTATGCATTAACATCTTCTTGGAAAAGCCCATTGCATATGTTCGATGTTAAAAGGATTGTCAGCTAATATCTTGACAGGACTAAATACTTAAGAAAGTTCATAAGGTTGTTAGTGGCTTTTGGCAAAGAGTATAAAGGTCAAGCTATATCAGTTCAAGGGCTATCAAAACTGATCAAATTGTATATTCAGATATGCTATGACCTAGCTGGAATTACTGCTCTGGAGGGGCTTGGGACCAGTTTGTCAGGCAAATAGAAGCTTTTGTAGGAGCTACCAGGTATGTGATTGCTTTTCTGAATTATGTTGGTTTTGCTGTTTCGCTAAATTCAGCCTGCATTCACATCCCAGAAAGATGAGCTTATGCCATGTTTTTCTATCACTAGTTTATTTTTTTTCATTATTCTTAATAACAAATCTTCCAAAGCAGAAAGTCAGAAGCCCCAATACATGGCAATTTTTGCTTAAAAAATTTAAGCTGAATGTAGGTGCCGTTTTGACTAGATCYTTGAAGTGAAACATGATCGACTTGTTTTAAAAATCCCCATAACTCATCTGGTTAAACAGTGATTTCCAGTGTGCTTAGTGAAATGTAGATTCGTAATCTTTCATAGTGAAAAGTGGTCTCTTGAGGTTTATATAGGTACTAAGGTGCTTCACAGTAGCTCTGGGGTATCAAAAGGAGTGCTTGCTGGGTATGGGGCTTTGTTGGCAGTGAAAGGTGTATCAAAAGGATATTTCTGTGTTACAATCCAAAATCTCATTTGATTGGTGTAGTCTCATCTGGATTTGTTTGTTTTTGATGTTTATAGACACAACATTCTTGTCTTGATGATGTTAATTGATCTTTAGCTTTCCTGACTTGATCCCTGGATGCTCAGGCAATTTCAGTGTATTCTTCACAGGCTACTTGACTTTGCTTCCACACTCTGTAGGTTTTTGGTTTTTTTTTTTGTGTTTGAATTTGTCCAGGAGCACCTTGTTCATCCATGTAGGTCTCTTGGCTGTTTTGTCTGACTTCCTTTTGGTCAGGATTGCTCCTGACGTGATCCTTGGATATTAAAACAGCTTTTTTGGGCCCCTTTTCCCTCTAGGTCTTTATCCCTTGGTATTCTTCCAAACAGATCCTTCAAGAGGCCAAAGTCTGTTCTCCAGAAGTCCAGGGTAGTATGCTTGTGCACCTTTCTTGCTGCCTTAAGGATCTCAAACTCCACTATTTCATGGTCAAGCTGCCAAGATTTCTTTGGAGATTCACATTTCCCACCAGCCCCTCCTTGTTGGAGAGAACAAGGCCCAGCATAGCATCTCTCTTTGCYGGTTTCTCTTGAAAAAATAAGTATTTCAGGAACTTCCTGGATTTTTTTRTGCCCTGATGTTGTGTCCCCAACAGACATGGGGGTGGTTGAAGCTCCCCATGAGGACCAGGGCAYGTGAATGCGAGGCTGCTGCTCTCTCTGTGTGTAGAGGGCTTCATCCACTTGTTCTTCCTGTAGCAAACCCCCACTGGAATATCACCAGTCCCTGCCCTCCCTTTGGTCCCTGACCCATAAGCTCTTGGTTGGCTCGTCGTCCATCCCCAAGGAGAGCTCTAAGCACTCCAGTTTGACATGGACGGCTCCACCGCCTCCAAATCTCCCCTGTGTTTTTATTCATAGGATTTTCAGGTGTATTTGTTAGCTTTTTCCAAGTTCTATTTAACTGTGGCAATATTTCACTTTGCTGTTGAAAAATTATCCATGTGCTGAATGTGTTTTCTTAGGGATAGGAAGATATGTAGCAAATAAATAGAACTATTTAAAAATTTTTATTTAATGCTGCCTCTCTMAATCCTTCTATTCTTAGTCAGGAATGTGCTTTTAAATTTGAATTTTGTATGAATAGTTTTAGCAATGAAGTGATTATAGATCATAAAGGTGCAGTGTCTCACTGTGGAGATGGTGCCCATCTTTTAGACAGGAAAATTATTCTTTTATTTGAGTTAAAAAAGAAGCAATCAATATCTTCAAATTTTGTATTTCAGGATATGGATTTGCTTTTAAATTGTAGGCTCATTTTAAGAAAACAGTGAAGAAATAAGTTATTTCTGTGGTAAAATACTTTCCATTGATCAGTCATTTGCTGTTTCAAATACTAAAGTGCAGAGCTGAAAAGAACAATGTCAGCAGTTTACAGGAAGGGTTAAATCTTTGTAAAGAGTGTTAAGKGTACTTTGCAAGATGTCATGCCTTTATTCTGAATATGAATGAACCTTTAGATAAAAATGTGGAAGAAATTATTAGATGACTCTAGACCTGTGGTTTAGAAAYGAGGGGCATTTTATTTGTCTGTGGCAAGTAGAATGTTAGAAGATGGTATAGGACTGAATTCCATTGGCTGTTCCTCTTGGATATTTCTGCTAATAACATTTTGAAGTTTTAATGGCTTTTAATTTTAGGGATAGACATTTAAAAAGTGAAGGAAAACAGATTTTAATGAATATTACCTACTTGTGTGCARTTTATGTGGATATAAACAATTTGCTTTCTTCTATTTACTGCATTCTAAGAGATGATGTGTGAATTTAGCAGCAGGAGTTGGAAATGGAGGAAATAGGTAAAAATTGATTTGGCAACATWGTTCTTCTATTGACTGATCAAGCTATGACTGTTCCATCATGTTGCCCAAGACATGTGTATTTGTGAAAAGAATTATAGACTAAGAGGCATTATTTTGGTTTYTTGCCATATTAAGCTGTGATCTAGAACTGCACTGAAAGGAGTTGACTTGTTTTGCTGTACTCTGGCCGAGCATCTGATCAGATAGCAAAGTTTGCAGATAACTCTGACGTTCTTAGGGGGCCACAGTGACATTTGATGGTGATATTCACCAAGCCTTTCGGTAAAGTACCCTTAACAGTAACTTTTTTACCATTATCACATCTTTCATTTTTCACAAATATACTTTTAATTCRTATGTAGGTTTATAATATATGATGATCTGTTGTGTTTGKTTTTTTTTTCTTTTTCAATATTACGTGGAACTGTATTCTATCTTAGTTTTTATAGGTTTTTAAAATTAATATGGGCACATACTTACTCGTATTATTTTTTGTCATTCAGTTTAAGAATAATATAAAAGAAAAGAAGAAACTTACTTTTGTTTCATTATGGTTGATAAAAAACATAGCTTAATAGGAACCACTGAAGAATTCTTTTCTTACATGTAAAAGCCTGCCACTTGTGTTACCTGAATTGGAGAGAAAGGAACATTAATATATTTTAAAGATTGATCCCCACTCTTTCTTTCTCTGGCTTCATCCAAGGTTGATTTATTTGTTGTCTAGAGTAAGGAATTCTGCTTTGCTTTGTATCAGGAGAAACATGAGTTGAATTAGTTTATTGTTCATAGATTTGTCTTCTATTACTCACTGCCTCAGCTATAGAAATGTTTGCCTATTGTACCTTGGAGACTTATTATAAGAACCCTGTGAATCAGATTAACCACCCCAGCCTGAAATTCACTTTTTCCGTGATGCGTACCTGTGCTTGTTTGAAGTAGTTTGTTGATCTCAGCAATGAGAGCTCTGAACCTCAAAGAAGTTCTTTGAACTRTATGATATCCATGACATGTTCTAAAGCACTGAATACTAATTTTTGTCTGTATTTTGAGATATCTGTAGAAATTTATGGGAATATAAGAGTTGGGGTTTACTCTCAAGTTTCTGCGATTCCTTTCTTTGATAACTGAGTGCACATGACACTTAAAACTCTCTGTGTTTGTCAGCTTCACTATGGAAAGCTGTGATTGTGACAGGATTTCAGGGAAACCAGATGTGATGTATCTTGGCAGTTTTCTCTGGATTTGGTGATGGAGAAGCAGCTGATAGGACAGGACAGGGAAGCAGCAGCTGGTATGGAACTGCTGAGGATGAATGTGCAGAGCAGGGGATCCCCAGCTAGAAGCTTTGTTTTTTGGGTGCAGAACTGAGTAGCACGATGTTTATGGCAGAATTTGGGGTTAGAGAATACCTGTATTTACAAGTGCATTTAACTTTTAGTCTGTGAATAAGGCCTGTGATGGARAAGAGTTGGGGAATAGCTGGTGCAGAGTTTGTCTGCAGGCTCTACAAATACAGATTCCAAATGGAAAAACATGGCTGTTGTTGTTTAGCAGTGTGTTTTCCTGAGCTCTCCCTTTCACATGTAGATCAGCTRTTGGCATGTTGCTTTCCTCAGTCCTCCAACTTGTCTGCAATAAGAGATTATGCTCAATCCCTCAGTTTTTGCGTTCCACAGCTGTTAAGTAGTTTTGGCCAGTTCTATGGTTTTACTATTTCTCCTTTTTGTGTTTCTCTACCTTTTGACCCTGAAGTATATAAATTGTATTCTTTTCTAGATCAGGACACTTGACCTTCTGTTTTTCTTTTTTCATAGCATTCTGTTGAACTACTGATACTAGATTACTAAATGTTTCATGCTTACCTTTGTTTGCTTCACTTGGAGAGTTCCATGATAAATCTCCTTTAGATATGAACTATTACATACAGAAATTGAGGGAAAAAAAAGAAACCAAAATATGTCATCCCAAGATTACCTTGCATACCAATGGAGATTAAAGTATTTCTTTACTTCCTCAGCATCTCTCTCCCCCCATCTTACATTCATGTAGAGATGAGACATTTGCAGCTGTTCAAGAGCCTCTAACAGCCTCAGATTTATGTGTAGTTCCAGAGTTTTAGGGGGCTGAGGAATCACCAGGGAAGAGTTTAAAGGGCAGCTCTGTGGTTGGCAGAATTACCAAACCTGTCGGCTTTCTTGTTGTTTCCCTTGCACTCTGTTTCCTCAGTTGTCCAGTTTGATGGAAAACAAAGTTGCAAAAAAGAAGAAAAAGTATACTAAACTTCCACATAACCCACCAGCATTCTTGTGGACTTCTGCTGCAGAGAATGTAATTTTACTTCACTTTTATTTAGCTGGGAGAAGAGCATTAATGCCCAGTTGAATCTTTTGTAACATCTCTCATGTATTTCTTTGTCCTTGCTTATGAGCTCATTTCAGTTTGTTAACTTGATTTCCATTTGATTTTCATTTCTCCAAGAATTAGTCTAGTTACTGTCTTGTGCTTCTCAAAATTTAACATGTTAATGTTTCTCTATTTAATGCTTTTATGCTTTTCAGAAGCAATAAATAATGGGTTTTTACAATAAATGTACAATTTCATATTTGCAAAAAGGTTTTTTTTTTTTCATTCTTACAACTATCTTCCTTCAGGAAAGAACAGCTGAGAGAATGACAACTAATTTTGTTGGTGSTAGAATTCTTGGATTTATTTCATTTTTTCATTGTTTCAAATTAGTATGTTCCCAAACAGCCTTAGAAGCTATTTTTGAAACATTATAAAAAAGTTGTATTTTTGTATTTTGCTGCTTTGCTGAATTCTTTCTAGATTTTCCTTAATGAATTTATGAAACAACTATGTGTCTGACTGTAAAGTGTAAGACTTTATTAATTTTCTTCATTTTGGGCCTAGATTAGCTTGAAATATTTAAAAAAATATTAGATGCTTTTTTTATGTGTGTCACTGCACATTTRAAGGCAAATTTAGGTAAATTTTATTCAATTTTGGTGCATATTCTTTTTGCTACAGTCAGTGTTTTGCTCACTGTGCTCTAMAATTTGCAGTTGGTGTATGAAATTTAGGTAATTAATTTATTATCTCCACTTTTGAATTTTTATTTCACATGGGTTATGCAAATGTAGAACCAAAGAAAACGCAGTTCACTGAACACATTAATCAGTTACATCGTTTGCATTAATTTAAGTGTTCTTGATTTTGTGGGAGAAAATAGGAATGTGTATACAGCTGCTGCTCAAAAATACTCTATGGGTTTTCCCTTTCAAAGAAATTGSGTTACCAAAATTGCCCCTTTCCTCTATGTGACTTCCACAACTAAATAAAAATTGATGCTCCTTGGAAATATTTCCCAAGAAATTTCTGAGAAATACATTTTTCCTGATTCATGGATTTCAGTGATGGGACTTTGAACACTGGTGATTATCCCCTTGTTTTCCCCCTGGTGGCTACAGTAGTACCTGTTTGTTAATTCACTTTGAAAGGGAGTGGTGAGAAGTGAATGCATACAGAGAACCTCTTTTTTGAAGATGGGTGGTTTTTTGATGGTTTATATGTCAGTAAAGTCACTATTTATGTTTTCTTCCAGATTCCACAATGGCCTCYTAAATGTCAAAGATGTTCTTACAAGTTTTGACAACACGGGGAATGTCTGTAAGTCACTGTTGATGTAAATACAGTACTGTGTTGATAGAAGTSTACCTGTACCATTGTAAAGCATTTCTGTATGAACCCTCAATAACCGTTTCTTTTAGCTGGGAAACTCCATTACTGTGGTTGGAAAGTACCAGAGCATTACAGTTTTATGTAGCACAGTTGTTTGTGTTGGATACATCCTTAAGTCCTCTCAGTACGGGTTATTTTTGGTTCTGTGGCTGTGGTGGGAACATGAGAGCAGCTGAACTGGACTGGACAAAACTTTAGCCCACTGATTTGTGTTGGCCAGGGGCCAGCAGTGGCTGTGTGAGGAGCAACAGTACAAGAACATGGGAAGCCAACAGAGATACTTCTAGCTTGGACAGGACAAACCTGAACCAGAGAAACACAAGAAAAAGCACACAAAGTTGTGAAATTCCTCCCTACAGAATGTTTTGGATCCTAAAACATGGAATAAATTCAAAAAGCAAAGGGGAAAAAAATTGTGCAAGAAAAATTCACTATGGCTATTAGACATCACTTATGGTCTAGGAAATGCTGGGTGGCATTAGGAGAATTAATGGGGCAGTAGCATGATATGTTTGTCTTGATCTTTCACTCTTGTCTAAGCATCAGTTACTGGCTGCATTAACCTGAGGCAATATGAGCTCTAAGTGGGCCATCAATGTCTGACCCAGTATGGCTTTGCTTCAGTATACTTATTAATAAAATTATCTATGCTATTAATGGGCTTGAATTATAAAATTGTGGTAGACCATGGAAACAAAGCTGAGCAAAAATACTGAAAGGTTTTTGATGTGATGAGTAATTACTATTATATAATTAGCATTTAGAGATACACATATAATTCTTGTTGGTTATTCTTGCCTTATCTTTCAGCAAACTGGTAGAATAAAGTTGCTAAATTTTGCCAGATATTCAAGAAATATGCACGTATTTTCTCTAAACCTGCTTCACACAATGAATTGGTTTAATATGGTAACATGATTTCTTGGTCTTTGTTCTTTATATGAGTACTGAGATTGTGCTCARTCTGCACAGATTTCTTTGTTAACACAAATAGTTTATTCTGCTAAAATTTTCCTAYGCTTTCCTATTGATAGATGTGCTCTCAGCTCTTGTGTTAACTTTCCAGTATTTCAGCTACTTTTTTATTGATTGCAGATGGTAGAAYAAGACTTACACTCTAGCAGGCACACCACCAGTGCTAACACAGGAGTATTATGACATTTGTAGTTCTTCTCACTGTTTCAGTTTATACAAAGATTCGTATTTGACCTTTTGGCTTCAGAATTGCTTTGAGGGTTCATGCTGTGCTACTACATATGGTGTTTGCCAAGTCATTTCCAGATTCACTGCTTCCCCATTTTTAAATGTCTTTGTAARTGTCTGTCTGTATTGATCTCCATATTACTGATTTATGCCTGTTTTACTATGCACTTTGGATTACACTATTAGGGTGCCTGTAAAATTGTTATCTGCTGGCAGCATGCAGTACATGTTTGGAGTGTAATAATCATGCTTTTTGCTACCACCTGTATGGAATACATGTTTTCAGTATCCAAGCCATATGTGTGCCACACCTTCACAGTGAAGTTTCCCCAACCGTGTGTTTACTGGACTGCTCTATTTGGGTCATACCTGATTGAATTTTTGTGCATTCCCATTATTGCTTAATTTAAATTGCTATTTCTTTGATATTTTCCTGTATATTTCTTGACTCTCAACTGTGGAAATGACTGGGGGGAGAGCGAGGGGGTGGCATTTGCCCCTTTTTACCCCCAGAGGTAACTACTGCTGTATTTCAAAAATCAGATTGCCTGTTATTTACAATTGCTCTAGTGTTCTACAAGAACTTTTAATATCAAATCGTAGTCTACTCTAAAAAAACCCCAAATATTTCTTAAATGGTCTTTGACAGTGTCAGATTATTTCTCCAGTCTAATACTAATGGAGTTAGCCAGAACTGGATGTGCTATGTCAGCGGTGCTCTGTGAGGGGATGCACTGAGTAATTAGATTTCAGTGCTCTTTTGGGACACACTGCATAGCCAGCATTTATTTACTGGCCACTAAACTTCACTTAAACGGCTTGGACCGAGTTACCAGGAAACAAGAAAATGTTTTAGTGTTCCATGTGTTTGTTTCAGTTCCCATACTGAGTATTTATCAGTGAGATTAATGTTTTGCTACAAATTATTAGATTTTGAAATAATTTTTGTATTAAAGGGATTAGTTTTGTTTTTAAAACATTATAATTTGTTTTAAATAACATGGTTTGTGTGGTTTGGGACGGAGTTTTTTTGTTTCTTCTAGTAAGTACTTTCTGTTAAAACAAGTACTTTCAGGGAGTGTTTTTGTGGTCTTTGTGTTCCACATTTGTGCTTGTGGTCTTTAACAGCCACAATATACCATATACCATCACCATATACCATCAAAACAAAAGTGAGAGAGCAGACTCCAGTTCATATCACTGTCTCTGAACTCCCAGTAGGTATCAACTCAGTACAAGATATGCCACTAGCTGGCAGCATTATATAAAATATCAATAAGGAGCTTTTGAGGAATTCTTGTGACTGCTTCCAAAAGTGCTGCCTTACACCAGTGAGACTTAAAGATAGAAGTGGAGCCAACTGCAGTAGCTGTAAATGGTGTATTTCAGGGTCCCAAGTGTTAACTCTGAAAATTGCCTCTGCACGATGGCTCATTCAAACTTTGTATTTGTATAGCTACACTTGTATTCTGTCTTTTTCTAAAAGATTTCTGGAGATGTATTTTCACTATAGGATTGCCACTGAGAATGAAAATTCACACTACAAATTGCAACTGGTTTTYACTTTCTTAGAAAAATGTGAAAGCTTTTTTCTCTCTGCTCACCCTTTGTGGGAGAGTGGTTTAGTGGTTTCCACATGAAAACTCTAAATGAATTCTCCACACAGACAGGATGAAGTGCTAAATGCACTTCATTCGGCTTTAATTCTATGCATAAACAGGAGGCAGGGAAAAGAGGACTGGAATGAAGGAAAGAATCAGTCTGTTCATTTTAGACAACAATATGCCATCTGTTAAAAAGAGGGTACAACCTGACACCATCTCTAGTTCTAAGATAGTCCTTTAAAAGAACTGATGGATCCCAAGCAGAAGGTTCAGTGGTGGCATTGTGGGATAGCATCAGCTATCCCAGAACCACATGCCATGCTCATCCTGGCAGAAGAAATCATCCAAAAATTAAGGAAAAATCTGCAAGGATGGGCTTTGGAAAGTATCGCCCTCCCTTGTCTCTCCATTTGGGAGAAAGCAGTGATAAACAAAGTGCTTATATTACTATCTCCCTGAAGTAATCATTACAAATTTTATAAACATTTAAATTAAGTGAAATGATCAAGATCCAAAATATAAACCTCTTTACTATTTGCTCCCGTCTAAGCAAGCTACAGGGTCTGTAAAGGAGAATTTTAAAAGTGAAATACAGCATATTTTTGGATTTTTGTCTAGKTAACCAGATGTTATCATCTGGTGTTATCACAGAAACGAGGTATTGTAAAATGGTCAAGTAGTATAAAGTTGCAAATGTGCTATATGTAATAGCAAAACATTTTCTTGTAAACTGCACATAGCATTAGTTAATAATGTAACCATTTTCAAGAAACAGCATGTTCAACACATTCTCATTTTATTTTCTGCTTGGCTGAGTGTACATTTACATGTTCTAGAACGAAAAGAGCAGCAGAGGGTGCTACAGTTTCAGAGCTACCCAGGCACATTCTCCAAAATTGTTGCTCTTGTAGGCAAGTAGGTCCTGTGAACACCTAAGCTTTTAAATAGGGATAGATGTGAAGAGGATTGTTTAAATTCTGTTGCCTCTGTTTATAGAGGAAAACAGGTAATCTCTGTGAAATCCAGGAAAAGTAAAATTACAGACCTACTTTTTTTTTTTTTTTTTTTTTTTTTTTTTTTTTTTTTTTTTTTTTTTTTTTTTTTTTTTTTTTTTTTTTTTCCCAGTTTAATGGATGGAAATGTTGCATAGTTTCATGAAAACATAGTAACATAGTGTCTGAATATAGCTACTGTTCCAAAACACTGAACACTTTTAGAACTATTTTTCTTCAGGCTAATTTTACACATAGAAGTTCCAAGAAGTAGCAACAAATTTTATATTGGAAAAATTTGTTTGGTTTTCTAAAAAACGATTTTCCCAAATAAGCTAGCTAAATTGAAGAATATTTTTGCCCTTCATATAATRTTTTTCATGAAAATAGCATGAGACAAGGATTTTTTCTTAAATTTGAAGTTCACATCAATGTTTKTTAGAAACATAAATCAAAGGAAAAACAAAGAAATAAATTATTTTTCTCCTTTTAGTTTTCACTTCTTTTTTTCTTCAGTTTATATTAATTTTAAAATTACACTTTCTTAAAACTGGTAATTATGTAACTTTAAGAAAAGTATTTTTTAAATTTACTTTGAAACAAAGAATCATTTCTTCCTTCCTCCATTCTCTCAAATAACTAAATCAAGAGGGATATCTTCTTTGTGGTAGCAATATATGAGGATGGGTTTGGAGAGCTATGTGTTTCTCCAGAGCTCTCACTGTGTGACTCAGATATCTGAGCTCCTCAATGGAGAGATGATGGCAGCTACTGAATTATCATGCTTGGAAGGATAGATGCCATAAAGTTCCCTGGGGAACATCTCTGGATGGCATCCTTTATGGCAGCAGAGGCGCTCCTGCATTTCAAGTTACGTTGCCTTGGATCAACCAGGGAGCAGAGCGCAATTTTCAGGTGCTGCTGTGGAAGTTTCCCTCGTTGTTTTGAGTAAACATCTGGTTATCAGTGGTGAAAAGCCTGCCAGCTGGAATWTGCTTCCTGCCTCTCTGTGCCTCAGTCGGTTTTCTCACCCGAAGAAACTGCCACCCATTGTCCTCTGAGCCTTCTCTCATTCCTCTGGTGTGGCACTTTGAAATTATTTATCGTGTCAGAACCTCAGAGCCCCTTGAAAGTCTGGAACAAAAAATA